TCTCATCAGATAAAATGTTTACCAAAGCAGGCCTACAAGGAGGGAGGGGGGACAGCAGGAAGGGCAGATAACAGCAGGGAGTGGAAAATGATCCAAACGTGACCAACTGAGATTTTCTGCAAACGCAGAAAAGAAAGCAGTTATTTTGTCTGGATCAAAGACATCTGGAAGATGCAGGGACAGAAAGAGGGGAAGGGAAGAAAAAACCCAAAGTGTAAAAGAAGGGGAGACCTTCATCCAGCAAAGCATTTGCACATAGGCTCAGGGTGAAGCCCAGCCTAAAGCTAAGCTTGAACCCGCGTGTGCTGCTGGATTCAGAGGAGGGAAAACAACAGCAAACAGACAGTGATACTCGAGCAGGTACCCTCCAAGAACTTGCCATCTTCAAATAAACGTTTTCATAATTTAATTTTTCAGCTCTTTGTAGCCAAGCCTGCTATTCCAGGCTGTAGAAGGCTTTGCTGAAGAGGACACAGCGACTGTTGCCAGGCTTCGCTGCTTTCAGACAGACCACCGAAGGTGGGAGGAGACCATTTCCACGCGGCTGGTCCCTAACATAGCCCTTTGGATCTTTGTAAATGTCAACGAAGCGTTGTGGAGGGAGCCTTTTGTCTGGGAGAGGTCACTGGCACCTGGTCCCTAGGTGTGGCCTTTGGGGATATGTTTATCCCCACAAAAACGCGTTTGCGACAGAAAGCACCTTTTCACTACTGAACTTGGGGAGAAAAAACAAGACAGGAATGTCCTTAGGACATTTTGGGTGAGGAACTTCTATGCACTTATTCCAAAAACCCATTAAAAATATACCTAAAAGAAAACACAAGAAAACAGAATAGAGCAAACCATTTGCCCCCAAAAATCATTAACAAAAAGTAAAAGTAACATTATCAAACTATATATATAACGGTTTTCATTAAAAAATAAGGAAAAATGCACACCCTACCGCCTGCAGTTCTGGTCAGGTTCTCCCTCCACCCACCCCAAAAAGTAAAAATTTAAAAAAAAAAAAAAAAAACCAAATGAAATAAATTAATGTTTCCACCAGTCTGGTTCTCAACTGAAACAACTTCTTTCCCCACTACTCTATTTCCTGAACACAGCTGTTAGAAACCTCATTAAAAAAAAAAATCTGCAATTCTTCCAATTCTTCAGATGAACATGAAAGTAGGACTTTTCCCCCAGTCTTGCAAACCTGGACTTATTTAAACAGTAGACTTTCTGTGCATTGGAGAGAGGAGATGGGTGTCAGGTACAGGGGTCCTTATCAGAAGATCAGAATGATTCCACTTGTGCTGCCAAAGAGTGCTTGAATCTGGGATTGCTCTGGGTTAATGGCATGCCTTTGAGCTTGAGGTCAGCACTTTCTCCCCAGCTGTAATGTGAATTGCTTAGCACTTGGATCTGTCTAATGATTGAGATAATATCACTCATTAGCTCTAATATCAATGGCCCTGGCTCACCCAAGTATTTCAACATGCAAATGGCATCCTTTAGGCCAGCAGGGAATCACTCCCTCCAAGTTAAATACCTGGTTTAGTTCTTGGGCAAACGGGATTCCCAATGCACTCAGCAAAGTAGAGGTGTTTGTCATGTTCAAAAGATAGGAACTTATTTTAAATTTGGATTTTTTAAAAATAAATTGCAAGAGCTGTGGTGGAAAGATACTTGAGCTTACATGCTAACCTTGAGCAGTGGGGGCTGAGTAAAGGATGCCAGGCTTGCATGGCAGCTGGCAGGAAGTATCCAGGATTGTATATTCTGCCCTTCAGGCTGGGAAACGTCCTCTGAACCCCTCAGCACTTTCCCAAATCATTATTGCCCTTTAGTGAACACATTAAAACATGTAACAGTGGAATTGAACCTTTGTAATCCTTCTTTTCCATCTGGATGTACATCTGCGGAGATGTACCCACAAAAGGGCCTTTATGGGCCAGCAGAAAACATTTCTGGAGGGCTGCAGACAAAGTACATCCAGAGGGTGCAGTGGAGACCAAAGCACAAGTACAGGAAGTAAAGGAATTAGTCAGTAAAACCAGACTTTCTCCACACTCCATATTTTTCTCTTCTTGACAACATATTTTATGCCTTCAGAATCCAGTATGGTTTTAGAAAACCCAAACAAACCAATGTCATTTCCTTATAATTAAATGGAAGAAGAAAGTTTGTGATGAAAAGGTTAAAGATGGAATCATCAATGACACAGGTGGAAGTTTGTCACCTGGTAACCAGAAATGGTAGCAAAAAGTGTTATCACATCCTCTCTGAGTAGCACTCTGAACTGAACACAGTTCTGGGGTTTCTCTGCTTTTCTAAAGAGAAATCTTCAAGAAGGGTTTCTTTCTTGGATCAAAGGATCCCCTCCCAGAAATATTGTCTGTCTTGCACTCATTTATGCAGCTGCTGCTGGAAAATGAGCCTAATTCTTCATCCGAAGAGTCTGACCACAATAGTAGAGTGAAGTGAAAATGACCAAAGAAAAAGAAAATAAATGGTGCCATTCTCAACCCCCGCCACTGGCCTCTGGGAGAAACCAGAAAGCAAAGCAGAAAGTGCTGGCACGCCGAGCTCCTGCAGGCCCAGCATCTGGGCACACATTCCTGGTGCCCTGCTGAGGAACTCTTCCCAAGCTCCAGGGAGGCAACTTGAAAACATCTCCAGCAAATCTTCAGGAAGGTCCTCCTTCTCCTTTCCCAAGCTTCTGCACCCTCAGACTCACTTTCTGGCTATCAGCCAAGGAGTTTGACCCTTGAAGTGGCAGACAAAAGGTTTCACGTGAAAACAGACAGGCAGAATTGACAGGAACCCACAGCAACAGCAGCCTGCTTACAGGTTTTAGTAGGGACAGAGCCTGAAACAAATTGCCCCACTCAGGGTGGTACAAACCCAGGTGCCCTGCTTGGGTTTCTTTTGGCATGTAAGGAGCTTAGGTCTGGTAAGAGCTGCAGGTCAGTGCAGCACCACTGATTTGAGCTCTCTTGTCTATCCCCAGGGGCTGCTGAGATTGTATCAGTATTTGGGCTGTGGAACAGCAACCCAAAATGGTTATCTGGTACTTCAGTTAAGATCCCAGGCTATAATCTGCCACAGCCACAGGGAACATTTGCCACCATTTCCCCAACCTTTAAATGAGTGGGCACCTTACACATTTTCCCCGTGGTAGGTAAGTCTTTGCTGACCTAAGTCAGGTACTATCAAGAGTTCTGGCAATTTCAATTCAAGCTCCCTTACACCTCCCTCTTTCTCACAAATAGAGCAGTCAAAGCACAGCCCATGAAATAAAACAGGTGCAGCATCACCCTCAGAGTCCTTAACCTTTCAGGAGCTGTGTCAGGACAAGGTGGGAGATGTGCACTTGCTCTGCTCTTGGATCAGATAAAAACAATCAACAGCAATCCCATGCAGTACAATCACAAAACCCAGCTACACAAAAACCATGCTACACAGACCAAAGGGAACAGGAAGCATTGGCAGCTTCTCCAAGGGATCTCTGTATTCAGCTTCTCCTAGGGATCTCTGTATTTTTAAGGATTAAGAATAGCCAGGATTTGTAAAGGGACTGAAGCATTCAGACATCCTACCGTCAAGATCAAGATCAGAGCAGGAACTCAGCGCTGCTGCTCCAACCTTCCAAACCCAAAGCACAGGAGTACACCTGGCTGGGTCTTTAGTAACTGCTTTAACAGGTGTGCAATTAAAACACAATTGGCCCATTAGCTGTTCCAATTAGCTTCACAGCTGCTAAGCCTTTAAACAGGGAGCTGGGGCTTATATTAACAACATCTATTACTGAGAAAACCAGAGAGAATCCCTTAGTGCTCTCTGGGCCATTTTCTTTCTGTGCCGTTTCAGCTCCAGCACACCAAGCATCTCATGAAAACATCACGCATGGAAACGTTTCATCCCAAGGACAATGTTGGCATGAGAACTAATGGTTGTAAATACCATGAATTAGTTTAGGTTGAAAGTTGCAAGGAGTTTCCTAACTGCGAGGGCACTGGAGTCAGAACAGCCTGCAGGGCAAGGAGGGAAAGGAGGAAAGGACACAGGGCAGTGGAAAACTCCGTTTTCAGATGAAATTCAATGAATTTCTGAAAGGCCGAGTGACAGATGGATTGCAGCAGTCAGAGGCTGGGCTGGGATCCTTGGGCAGGCCCCAGCAGCCCTTTCCCTGGGTACAAGGGAACTACCTCCCTTACTCTGTCACTTTATTATGATGGTGCTAAAAGGCTGCTTGGAATCCTCTGGAAAATTACCTGATAATAGTTTGTGAAGGGATGAACAGGTGAATAGAGGGAGCAGGACTTGAGTGGATCAGTCTCGCTAATAAATCACCACCTGTGCTTCTCCTCTGGGATCATTAAACACTGGCAGCTTCCCCTGAGACTCCTGCACTGCCTTTTCCCCCTCTCTGAAGGGCAAGGCAAGTAGATGTGTTTTAGGGAATAGATTTAGGCTCCCACCTTTCCCCTCACACCCTAAGCAAAGCACACTTTAGCCTGGTGGTGTTTTCCTCTCTGCATAGTTTAGACTTGAGACCTCAACAAGGGTAGGTCAGGAAGGATAATTAGGATGTGCATATGCAAATGAAAATGACACACTCTGCAAATTTGCATGTGACCTTTGGTTAACATTTTAAAAAGCCACGTGGATTGATTTTACAAACATTTGTTTGGATATCAAGGTATGCTGCGCTATGCTTAATTTGAAATAAGGCTTTAATTAAGCTGTTTGAAAGCCTACAGTTTAGAAAGGGATGAGAATTTCTTGCCAACCAGGGCTCCTTGTCATCAGGGTTATTCCAGGTCATGGGAGGATAATTGTAAATCATGGTGTCTCTACATTCCCAGTCCACTAGGAGGTTTTTCAGCAACCCTTTAATTCATCACAACAGAAGTGTTAATATTTCACTTTAATAAAAAATACATAATATTTTGAAATATTCTTGAATTATCCAGCTTGGAAAATGAAAATGACCTTTAAATCTATACAGGGCAGTTCCTTTGGGCACTTTAAATGCAATAATTTATTAAAGTTCCTATATTCATCATGTGTGCACAAATATCATGTAAATATTACAGCTGTACTCCATGACAAAACAAGCGTAATGCAGACATAGAATCATACAGAGAACTGACAAATGGGGGGAAAGGGGAGATCTAGTATTTTCTGTACAAAAAAATTGGCCACTTTTTGATAATTTGTAAAAATGCATAACTTTTGGCATTTCAGAGAAGAACACCGTATAAAAATAAATATTCTATGTACAGTAACACACACAGGTCAGTCCAGGGTTAGAATCATCACTGCAAAAGAAAACATAAACAAGTGTTAGTGACAGCTCACAGGGGCAAGGATGCTGTTAGGGAAGCTGGCTCTGGGCTCTCCAGGAGGAAAGGGAGCTGTGGTGGATCCCAGCAGGGACCCTGACACCTTTCCTGAAGGGGGGCCAGACCCTGGGGAGTGCAGGGGGGGTCTGAGAGAACCCAGGAGGAAATCTCATCTTTGTGCAAGGATTAGAGCACTTTGGGGCAGGCAGCTCAAAGGCCACAGGTACGGTTCTCTCCTTGTAGCCCACAGAGCTGAACTGTGATATTTAAATAAGGAGGAGTTTTGGTTGCCACTTTTCTGGGATACAGTTCTGGAAATCCCATCCATGCATCCACACCTCCTCTGCCCTTAGGCAGATCATGGAAAACGTTAGCAGGAGCCGTGGCACTGCCAACTCAGCACAGCAGCATTTCCAAATTACCTTATTCCAGCAGCCTTGAACTGGAAGGCCATCTTCTCCCTGTGGAAAAGATGGATGAAACAGGAGTTTAGGACACAGAAAGCAGCACAGAGATGGAGAGAGGAAGTCACGTGTTAACTGTTACTGCAACAAACAGTTTGAACCTGGGCCGGAGGAATAGTCAGAGATATTCCTCATCCTTCAGATGACCCAGACTTCTGGCTGGCACAAGCAGTGCAGCCTGAAGCAGGGGCTGGGGCGAAGAGGGGAAATGCCTGCAGGCTGTGCAAGGGACTTGGATACCCGAGAACCACCCTCCCCTAAGAAAGGAGTCCAGCCAGGCTTCCTTGAAGGAAGAAGAGAAGGAACCCAGGAGGTCCAACTCAGCCAGATAAACAGCAAAGTGAGAGGTGCCTGCTCCGTGTCCTCAGGCTTGGCTCTGCAACGCTGAGCTTAAAAGCCAATCCCAGAGTCAGCACTAACCTCAGACACTGAGGAGGGTCTAGAAAAAAAAATCTCCATTTCCTTCCTGCCCTGTTAAAAGGTTTGCTTTGTCATGTGAGACACTGCCCAGTTATCCCCTCTTGCCTCTGGGCAGATCCTGCTCCAGGGAAATTAGGGCAGCCCCTCTGCTGGTTCAGGATGTCTCAGCTAACTCCCTGAAAAGGGACTTTGGCTTCAAAAACATCAGTGGGATTTCTGTGGAAATCCCCTGGCACTTCTGCACCCTTGATGTCTTGGGCTCCATGGTTGGGAAATGCTTTTGTAGATTACTGCCATCATTTCAACCCTGTGCTGCCCTCTTTGATGGGCTAGATATGACACCAGTGCTAAGGTGCCCTGGAGCAGCAGACAGAGTCAGGTGTAAGGAAATACATGTCTGACACAAGAAGTAAAATATTCATGCTGTATGCACATGGCAGATTCATGGTCTATCACTTTTCCCCAGGAAACCCAAAAAAATACAAACAGAAAAGCAAATGCACAGTAATATATTGAGAAATGAACCATTTACTGGAGATGCACTTCCAGGGGGCTGATGTACTGAGCACTGCCATGATGTTATAACAATATTGCTTTTCAAATGCATTTTTTGGACTTTGGTCTCCTTGTGCTGTTTCCTCCCTTTGCCCCAACTATGTGGAAATACAGAATTCCAACTTATTTACTGGGTAAATGGTGGTGTTCCCATTGGTACACTGGTGGTGACAGGAACGGCTGGTACAGTGCATGGCAGGAGGAGATGGGAGTTAGGTGTATGAAGGAATGGGAGGCCAGGGAGCCACAGCTCAGGGATCAAAGGAACACCAGGGTCACAAGGAAGTGTTTGTTGCGGGCCAATGTGCCGAGAATGGAAACATGAGGTGCTTGTTAGTACCAAGGATCTCCTTCCACACATCTCACGTGTGCCAAGAGTTAGTTCACAGCCTCCATGAACTACACACATGGATGTGTCACCTGGATGCCAAGCTTTTAACCTAGCTGGATCAAAAAACATGCTTATTCATGTTCCCAAGCTTGCATGCCAGCACACCGTGTATAAAAAATAACAGCATCCATACTTCATCAGATTTTCTGGCAAGTTTCCCTTAATGAAAATAGGTATGAAAAGAAGTGTGAGTTCTAATATGGCCATGTGGGGTGAATCCTCACGGGGAGCAGTGACAAAACCAGAAATGTCACCTGCCAGGGCACTGGTGGAATCCTTGCACCTGTGAAATGAGGTGCCTTACTCAGCCAGAAGTTACTCCATAGAAACCTGGCTGTGATCATTGGGACACAAAACACATGGCTCTGTGGTCTTCCTCCTTGGAGCACCATTCTGGGCAGGGATGGTTTCACCTGGGGGACTGGCACAAGCTTCTACTACCCAGAATTTACAGGGCAGCAACTGAGACTGTGAGTGGTCACTGTCCCAAAGAGGCAATGGCAGCACTCAAAGGAGGGGGCACTGGAAGGAAAATTATATTAGCTCTTCACAAAGCTCAAATAACAAAGGCTTTTAATGGCAATTTCATGGTGCTTTTTTCTTTTCCCCTCAAGAAACTAGGAAAATCTTTTAAACTAAATGTGGCTTTTTGCTTTGGGATGCATTTTCCCAGCTAGTTGAACTAACAAATCCCATCCCTTGCAGATGGCTTCAAACCTCCTTAAGTGAGCATAAGGAAAGACCATCCTCCAGCAAACCTTGTCATGCCAAACAGGGCTGGATGGGCAGGGGAGTAAAAGTTTCTTTGTATTATGGAGATGCTGAAACTCTCCCAGAGAGCAAAAACGTCACCTGAATGCTGCATCTCCAGAAAACTCAGAGAAAATGAATAAATTTATTGGGATACTAAGAAATCACTTGGGGTTAAGTGTTTCTGAATACTTTTGTCCTACAACAGTTGGGCTAGATCAGGCACTAATACAATAATCATTTTATTACTTGAATAAGATGGATATTGGGAAACAGGCAATTCTAAATTCAAGTGTTTTGGATGCTATGGGTACAATTTGGACTTTTGGGGAGAGACATAAATAGGAATGATCCAGCAGGGAAGTTAAGTGTCCCTATTAATATGTGTCACATGGGCTTACTAATGGGATAACTATTCTTTTCAGTCATCTTCATGTATGGGGTGACTGAGGTCATACAGAACCATGTCAGGCTGTGCTCAACACACACAAGCAATTAAAAACAGAGTTAATGAAGGACACAAGCACGCAGCTCCTTGTGAGGAAGCCAAGCCAGTGTAGAGCTGGGTCTGCATACACTGGTTTATTGTCAAAGGGAAGGCAAAGGAAGAAGTGAAGCTGCTGTAAATAAAACCACATTCCAACTCTAATTTTCCTCATGCCACAAAGTGCTGCTGACAGATGTTGGGGATCAGAATGAAGGGAAGGGCCTGGTTCTGACAGCAGCAATGAGAGGGAGGGAGTCTGGAGACAGGTAAGGAAGGAACTGCCAGGTGTTTCCAGGGCATGCAGCCGTTTGGGGGATCAGAAATAGCAGCAAGAGGCCAAAAGCAAACGAGCATGCAGGAAAGGGAAGGTACACCATACCAATGGGCATGGGGCATCCAGGCCGTCCAGCCCAGGTAACCCCGGCTCACCCTTCTCGCCTTTAAAACCTCGCAGACCCTGTTCGTGAAATCAACCACTATCGTTATTTCAGTCAGTGCCAGGCAGCCCCACGCCCCAGGAGGAGAGGCTGAGAGCCAGCTGGGACTGGCACAGACGGGGCACTCAGCTGCACACCCACACTGAGCCCTGTCTGCACGCTGGGCTGTGCAGCAGCAGCAGTTTCTGTCATCTGTGAGCCACGAGATGCTTCTCTGAGAGGATGGGAATGGTGTTTCCTCCATTCCAAAATCAGCCATTCCTCCAACCCTCACCGAGAAACCCAGCAGCTGGATTTCTAAAAGAATGATGCCCAAGTTCTCCTGGAATCTGTGGCACTGCTAGCAGATTGCTGGCAGTGTTTGCTGCAGCATATGAATTTAGATTAAAATGTACACATATTCCTGTATTTATTTACTTGTCTAGACTTATAGCCAATCTGTTTTGACAGAAACATCCCATTTAGGGTAACTGAGACTTGTTTTTGCTCTGGGTAGTGCAGCTCAAGTGCCCTGTGTGCTCTCAGGCCACCACATCAGCTGGCTGCTATTCCAAGGCAAGGAACCAGCATTGCAGTTTTGCTGTCAGGTAGCTTTGATCCCATGGAGCATCTCCAGAGAAGAGCTGGAACCAGCAGCAAGGGAGACAGGGCTGTATCCACAGTGGAGAGAGCCCTGAACTCCCAGCACATGGCACACCCATGTACCCAAACCTTTGTCTGGAAGAGGAAGGAACATAACCGTGGTCACTCAGCAGCCTGATCCCTCAGAGGATCACTTGGTCCCACAGGCTGTGGTGGGAACCCAGCTGTGCTTATCCAAATGTTGTACTTTTGCAAGACCATTATTTGTGTTATGATTTCCTTCTGTCTTCCCCATCAACACATCTTAAAACAATACATTTGATGAAACAGGACATACCAACGGACAGGGTGCATCTAATCCAGGTGCTCCTTGGTCTCCCTTATCCCCTTTAGACCCTCTAGAGCCTTTCTTGCCCCTCTCCCCCTGTAAATAATAGTTTAGTCCGAGAAAAAAAGAATACACAAAAGCTTTAGGATCATCCATTTCAAACAAATGTCAGCGATAGTTTAAAAAAGGATAAACATTTAGGAAACATTTTTAAAATCAATCTCCGTCTGAGATGTGAAGATCAATGTCTGGAGCTGCTGAGCTGTGGCTGAGCTGCATAAACACTGTGGCTGCAGTCCCACATGGCCAGGGCTCAGCACCAAAGGGATGCTCACACCACTTCCCAGGGCTTCCCACACACCACAGAGGGCACCTTGGATGGGAAAACAGGATGGAAACCACCCCTCTGGCCAGCACTGTGCCTCCTTATCTCCATCTCCAGCTGCCTGGGAAGGTCCCTCTTGCTCTGGGATAGCTCTGGGATAGCACTGGGAGGCTTTTTTGCCCCTCTGAATTCCCATTCTGACAGAAAGTTTCACTCGGGGAACCACAAGCCAGGGAATGAAGGAAGTGCTCAGCTCTGAGTCTGCACAGTCTGGCTGTCCTTTGGGATGCTCTGAGTAGTGCTCTCCCAAAAAACCTCTTAGACCAGGGAGCAGTCCTAGGCAGCACAGCCACAGGTCCCTGATCCTTAACTGGCAGCACAAGGCAGGGCATAGGGTGGCATTTGCCAGTTACATCCACACCAAATCCTGCTGTGTAACAGGAAATTCTCAAAGCTGCTGAGCATCCAACAGGGGAAGGGGCTGCTGCACAGGGAACTGAGCTTAGGGTCCTCATGTTAAAGGAATTAAGGGATAAAATCAGACAGCACAGGCTGCTGCTTCTTTAAAAAATAGTGTTAAACCCAAAGCTGGCAAGAGAAATGGATGGGAGAGGAGAGGCAATGAGGAGAAGTCACCCAGAACCAAGCACTGGAATGGAGAGGATAATCCAGGAAAAATGCAGCATGGGTTGCTCTGGAGGAAGGAACCAGGAAGAAAGGTGGAAGAGGAGGAAGGGATAAAGGGGACAAAGGTGGACCTGTAGGAGCAAGGAAGATGCACAAACACACAAACCCCCCAGCATTAAAATAACAGCAGGACAAGTTCAGGGCTCACACTTTTTCAGCTGGCTTTCACAAAATGCTGGCTGTCCCCACTGCCGTTAGTGCCACAGCCCAGGCACAGCCACGCTATCTCCTGCTCCAAGAGAGAGCAGCAGGAGCATTTCAGGGATTTAAAAAGCATTGAGGAAAAGAGAGGCTTTTGGCAAACTGGGACTTCAGAGTAGGGGAAATCCCTGTACAAAGGCTCAGTGGCAAAAGGGGCACTCTCTAGGGCCCCCTATAATACTGCACTTGCCCATTCACACTCCTGAATCTCACTTTGCCATTGCAAACTGCAGCGAGGCAGAGTGCAGTCATGCCAGCAGAACTCCCCACTCGTGCTTCCCAGCTCATCCTCTACAGGGAGCTGCAATTTCTCCCAGTTCTCACCTGCTGTTATGCCAGAGCTCAGAGATATCTCATTAATGAAAGAGCCTTCTTTTAACGAAGGCACTCAGTTCAAAAACCAACTGAAAAAGTCTAGGAATTAAAAATGACAGTTTTTTAGAAGAAGCCGCACACGCAAAACAAAAGTGAAGTGAAAGTTAAGAAGCAAAGCCAGAAATGCAATGATTAAAAAAGGGGAGAACTTTGGTGCTTCCATGACGCTTGAACCTTTCTCCCCTAGTTTAAGATGCCAGTTGGCTTGGTGCTGTCCAGAACTGTCCTTTCTGTGCAGAGGTAGGTCAGAAACCCATTGCAGACAGAGGACAGAGAACACTCACTACACATCAAAAGCAAATCCATATAATGAAATCATCACATGGGCACATGCACTATAAAAATTACATCTCCAGATAAATTTAGATGGTGTCACAGTCTTATGAATAAAAGGTGTGGCTACATACACTTGTACTGTACTGAACCTCTTGACATTTATACAATTGTAATATTACAGACTCAAATGCAAAAGTAATTTATATTTCTAAATATAAATTATTTCCAACCACAGTTCTTAAATGTTTTTATCAAAAAGATCCAGATTCAAGGACTTAACAGGCAAGAAAACCTGATGAAAAAGAAGGAGCTTCTCAACAGACACTCCTTAGCAATGTTTATCTTTCCATAACGCTGGTGGTACAATGGGAAAGCTGTAATTTCTGTCACTGGGTTTGACCCAGCTCTTCACCATCACATCAGGACAATGCCTGAGGAGACTTCAGGCCTGATTCTTCAAGACAGGCAAATTTAATTTATCTTTTCAAAATTTCCATCTTTCAAATTCTCTGCAGGATTGTTTGCTAGAAAACAACCTTCTTTTTCATGCTTTGGGGACAATTTAGAAGTACTGAAATAAGATTTGCTGGCTGCACCTCAGCTGATTCTCCCAGGAATCCCTATTATCCATCAGGAACTAGGTAAGCAGGATTTCCTAAGGCACACCATGCTGGCCTAACTCAAATCCTGTGCTTCAGTCAGAACAGAGGTGTGACCACAAGGAGCACATCAGAAAATCCCTCTAGAGCCTTCAGCGAGGTGTAGCCCAACGTTCCAGGTGATGGAATGAGCTACAGGTCTCACACCTGAAGCACAGGTGTGCAGAGTGACTGGGGTGAAGGTGTGGCACCCAAACCATGCTGGTGCCACAGGAGCTCACTGGGCTGTCACTGAGTACAGCTGTTAGCAGTGAAACACAAAGTGTGCTGGGAACTTACCCGGACTCCCTTGTCACCAGGTAGACCTTGTAAACCCTGAAATGCAGCAACACAGAAAGAGACATTTCAAAACAAGCAGATTTCACCATGTTCCCACTAAAGAGACGAATGTGTGCTCAGGATTTTGGGAGTTTTCCATTTGGTGCAATGGCTATGTCAAAAATAAACACAATTTTTCCAACAGGCAACCTCCTCTTCACTCCATCAGACCATGCAGGTGATAACACCACTACTACCTATCCTATGGACTCCTTAGATAAGAAACAAATTAGTTATGAGCATGCAACAAACTTCCTTTTTTGCGTTAAACAACAAAGCCACTCCGTAACTGCATGAGACCACAGCACCAACCCCATTTTGCCAAAAGCAATCCCAGACAGTGGAATTAACATCACTGAAGGCAGCTTTTGTCCCTTTTGCAATGACAGCACAGAGCTCTCTCAGACAGGAGCCAGACACCCAGGCTGTGAAAGGTAAAGGAGCTGCTCAAAAGCAGCATTTTGGACTAAGAGACACATCCTGGGAGTCCCACACAGCTTCTTTAGGTAGTTCAAGGACCAAGGTGAATTTACAATTTCCTTTCAGCCTCCTCCACATCACCCTGAGTCTGCTCTGAAGCTCCTCAGCTTTTTCTGTCACTCCCGTAGTGAACACAATCCTGTAACTTGAGTTGGTTAGTAACAGCTAAGCCAGCTGTGGCTGCAAACACTGTGTCACAGAACATCTTCAGCTGTCAAGCACAGCAAGGAAACAGGCTCAGGAGGTAAATCCCAAGGATTTCCATACTTACAGGAAGCCCTGCTGGCCCCATTGGTCCTGCAACTCCAGGGTCTCCTTTACTGCCCTGAAATGGACACAGAAGAGCAGAAACTGTTCACATTCCTATTTAGTACAAACAGGCAACAGAGCACCATAGAAGAAAAAGCAAAGGATGCACTTCAAAGCACCTGAAACCCCCCAAGGTTGAGATACTGAAGCACCAAAGAGGCCCAGCTAAGGCTCTTGTATGAGCAAGGAGAGGGCAATTCCAGCTCTGGAAAAGCCTGGAGCTCCTCTGTCCCCCAGAGCTGTGGTATCTTCAGAGAAGTTCTAGAGCATCTGTCAGTTCTGAACAAAACTCACCCTCTCTCCTTTTGGTCCTGCTGGTCCCGAAGCCCCAATTGGTCCTGGAATACCCTGCAGTTGTAGGAAGGAAAACACATCAGGATGCTTTTATTTCAGGCCTCCTTAAAGCCAGGAGATGCTGCTGCTCCCTTAGGAAAAGCACAGGCTGGTGGAGGAAGGCACCTAGCAGCACTACAGCTTTCAGTTGGCAAGGCAATTTGAGGAACATGAGAACTGAGGTGTTAGATCACAGCAGCACCACTTCCAGAGCCTCATTTGTACTTCTGAAGCTCTCTCCTGACAATAATTTCAGCCAGCATTTCTGCCAGCTCCACAACAGGAATTCTTTCTTTCTTTCTAGGTGACACCAGACAAGGCTGAAAGCTGTAGCAGAATAAAGGCCATTTACACACATGATAAACATTTTGCTTTTCTTTTTGCTTATTTCCCTATTTTCTCTACCCCCTCCTGGAGTCAGTGTAGCTGAGGAGATGGGAAGTGTTGGGTTGGTGGTTCATGCCAGCTGGCAGAGCCCATGCTGCAGAGCTGGATGCAGGTGTGTACAGGCACAGGTGTGAGCTGGGAGGGGCATCCTCCTGTCCCTCTGCTCCTCCTTTGCCATTCCTGTCACTCCACCAGGCTCCCAGCCACGCTGACAGGAACGCCCAGTGTTTTTCCTGAGCCTTTGACACAGAGCCCATCTCCCACCAGCACACCAAACCTCCTTGCTGGTGCTCCTGAGACTCGCCTGGCCTCTGGGAAATCAATCAAAGCCATCTTTAATGTTGGCAGCATGGGGGTTCAGTAATACCCCTCTGGCTAAGAACAGGATTCCAGCCCCTCCAACTCACACTCCTTGAACCACAAAGGTATGGATCTACAATTCCCTCATTAAGCCTCAATAAAGGGATTCTTTTGAGGCACATTGCCTGACTCCGAGGAAGAACCAAGGAGAAAACTTCCCAAATGGGAATCTTTTTCTAAAAGCCTTAAAGCAAAGGGTCTTGCACTTTTTAATGTCAGTCTGCAATGCTTAGTCACTAAAGGAACCCCTCTGATGACAGCCTGACAGCTCATGTGGATCAGGAGAGCTTTCCAGAGAAGTCCAGATCCACAGAACACAAGCTGAGGAGTAGCTCATGCAGCACACAACTTCAGTGTGGCAGAGAGAACAATCAGGCTCTCCTGAGATCCATGCAATTGTGGAAATCTTAACTGCCTTCATTTATGCATCATTTACTGCTAAGGAATACACTGAAATCTCCTCTGCACATCTATAAAATTGTATGTACAGTTTCCCCAAACAACTGACTCTATAAGCTGCCACTCAGATTCTCCTCAGCAGTCAGAGCAGCTGAAATTATTCCCAGCTACACTGAGGAGGAGAAATTGCTTTTTGTTTTTAAATAGCCAAGTGGATTGTACATGGGTGATCTGTGATTTCCCAAGAGGGATTAAAAATATTTGGCTGTTATTTAACAGCTGTTACCCAAGAATAGCCGAGTGGTTTGCAGAACCAGGTTGGCATTACTTAGAATGACAGGATGGTTTAGGTTGGAAGGGGACTTGAAGATCAGCTTGTTCCAACCCCCTTCCATGGGCAGGGACACCTTCCACTATCTCAGGTTGCTCCAAGCCTTGTCCAGCCTGGCCTTGAACACTTCCAGGGGAGAGGCAGCCACAGCTTCTCTGGGCAACCTGTGCCAGGGCCTCACAGTAAAGAACTTTTTCCTCCTATCCAACCTAAACCCATTGAATCTTGCATTTTGAAGCCATTCCCCCTTGTGCTGTGACTACAGCTGCTGATGATGAGTCCCTCTCCCATCTCCTGGAGAATGACAGGTTGGAGCATCATGGAATCATGCAGAGGTTTCATTCCTCATGTTCCTGAGATACAGGGGAACAAGCAGGCTGCGATCCCAGCATCCACACTGGTAGCATCAAAGACAACAAGTGTGTGATATCACTCCTCATTTTAATTCCCTCCCAAGCCTGCTCTGGTAAAAATAAGATCATTGCTGGTATAAACAAGACTTGGGTGGAAGACACAACACGAGTGACGACGGGGGGGGGGACAAACATGGGGTAACAGAGAAGTGGAACTCACCGCTGGTCCAGGCCTGCCGTCTAAACCTGAAGCACCCTGAACAGGCAGGGAGGGGTCACAGAAACCAGGCACAGGAGAGGGTGAGGGGAAACAAGAGGTGAGTCAAGCAGTGACTTGAGACAAACATATGCTTGCAATTAACAAAAATTAAGGACAAGTGATGGCACTTACAAGCAAACCAACAAAAACATAGAAACGCTGAATACACATAACGTCGACCTGCAACTTTCAGATCCTCTTAAATTTCCCTCACTCAATGCCACCAGGAAAACTCCTGGGGAAGCAGCTGTTCTATGACAGGTGGTGAAAAGAAAATGTGAACAGTGGAGCTGGAATCTGCACTGCCTTTGTGGCAGGCTGGGCAACACAGGTGAGACACAAGGCTCAGAGGCCTCTGCTCACCAAGGCATTTACAGGCACTGCAGAACCATCAGCTGTTCAAGCTGCTACCAAGAACTCCGGGGCTTGTGGTGCCCACTATGTCAGCTGCAGGCTTGCTCCACTCCACGGGCAGTTGTTTGGGGGCTTATGAAACAGGTGGCTCATCTCCCTGTGTCACCAGTGCAGAGTTACACCAGCCTGAGATCAAGTGGCCCCTTGCTGTCTGCTCAGCTCCTGCTCTGAATCTCCTCATCACAAGGCCTGACTGTGGTTCTGCCAAGGCCCATCAAGCCCAGTGGCTTGGAGGGAAACTGTGGTAGGATATAAGCACCAAATCTTGAGTTTTCCTCCACTTGAGCATTACAAGCTTCTCACCCTGTCAGCCAAGGCTACTGCAGATAATCAGGACTGGAATTCCAGCGTGACGTCAAGCCCCAAGTCAGAGAAAAAGGCAGCAGATCCAGCTTCAGGATTTTACAGCCTGAAATATTTTAGAACCTGCTTGGCACTGCATTTGGTTTGACAGGCTGAAGATACACTGGATCAGGCATGGAAAGCCCTATGGAGAGAGCTCAGTGCCTCTGACGAAGGATACAAGTTCCACAGTATTTGATCTTAGGAGCTGTGCTGCCTGGTTGGCCAGCCAATATTGCTGATCCCAACAAAACATTCCTAAGAGGATCCTTCTGAGCCAGCATTCCCACCTCCACAGCTCAGGGAGAGGGATGGGAAAAGCCAAGGTCCCCCATGGGGCTCACTGCTGTAGGAGAAGCAGCTAGGGCATTCCCTGCCACAAGGATGAGATGTTGGGATAACTGCTGGGCTGATTCTGCTTGGGCTGTCACAGGGACCTCCTTCTCCTGTCTGGATACCCCACAGGCCCGAGGGAAAACAACCATTTACACAGAAAACTTCCATTGCCATGTCTCAGGGGACGGGGTTCTGCCTTCTCACTGCTTCCCTGAGGCACAATCCCTGGCCTGTGAGCCTTCTAAAAGCATCCCTCCCTTCTCCCCACTGCTCTGCCTGGAGCCCCAGGGAATGTGCTCAGGCTGGGAGCCTGGGGTCAGAGGGGATTCATCCAGGCTCTAGAAGGGAACCACTGCTCTGCACAACTAAAGGAGTAAAACATTTCACAAACAAAGACACACGTCTCAGCCAAAGTCAGGGACAAGGGGTCTGGGTGGTTGAACACAGGATAGCAAGCACATGAGATGCACTGTGCAGTGTTTGTACATTTGAGGAAGGTCTACAGTGCCACCAGTGCTTTTTATGATGAGAGAACCTGGGGGCTGGTGGAACAACTGGGTAGGACTAAATCACCACCAACTCACCATCAGGTTTGTATCCACAGCCCCTGCAACTTCTCTACAATACACTGTGCCCCAAAGTCTCTTGCTAAGCCAAGCAGTGCTCTAACCCCAGGGTAAGGGAGCTGAGCTCACACACAGCAGGACAGGCTGGGCCAGGGGGAGCACTGATCCCATGGCAGAAGGGACAGGAATGCTCCAGCTATCAAACAAGCTGGTTGCACTAAGAACCACCACGCTTTGTACAAAGCTTAGCCCAGGACACAAACGGCTGGGGAAGGTTTTTCTCTTTCCACATCTCTGACTTATGTTTCTCATCTTCCCCTGAAGTGCACAGAGCCCCCAGGAAGGCTACTGCTGGATTCTCCCAGTCCTGCCAGAAGCAGGAGGAAATAAAGTGATCGCTCATCTATTCAGCACATCTAGAAGCTGAAGGCTCAGCACAGAAACTGAGGCTTTGGGTTTAAAAAGCAAAGGCACAGTTATTTATAGACTGTCTCTTTCTCTGACTGCACACAGCAAATCTCCACGTGCCTCTGCCATTGAGGGATCCTTTTACAGCTGCCTTTGGCTTGGCTCCCAAAGTGCTGCTTGCTTCCTGGATACTCACGGGTAATCCCAGCGGCCCTCGGTCTCCTTTTTCACCCTGGGCACCCTTCTCTCCTTTCACTCCATCAATCCCTGCTTCCCCCTAAAGGAAGGATGGAGCAGAAAATAAACCACCAGAACAGCCCTTATATAACAAACATTCCTCCCCTCAGAGAGCCCTGGGAGCACAGGAGGCAGCAGAGCAATGCTTTAGCCCAATCCCAGCCTAATCTGAAGAAAAGCACCGTCATTCAAATTACCCCTGTGTGAGCACTGCTTTAACTCAGAGGCAATGAGAGGAGACTCAGGCCCTGAGATAAAGATGTTCACAGCAGAGCTGAGCTCACTCCAGGGCTGCTCTCCCTGCTGTTGTTGCTGTATATATACATTTATATATAAATATAAATAACCACAAGTTATCTGATACAGTGGGTGTACATTTTAAGATGTGGATCCACTGGAAGTGAACGACAGGTGGCAACAAGCCTTGGAGAAAAATCACACAGAAATAATTTTTGGAGAAACTTTTGTAAATTCTAAGGCATCAGTTTCAACATTTCAGAAAAAAACAATTTCAGCATTTTTTCCCAGCTGTATATTTAAAATTCTCTATTATAAACTATAAAGCAATATTAAACATAATACTCATTGTACTTAAATTCAAAATGTACCCAAAACTTTTTTCCTCCTCGCTGCTGTTCACAAGGCTTTTTAAAACACACCCATCCCTTTTAGTGCCCAAACAACGCTGGTGGCCAAATACTAAGAATAATTAAAATTAAGATACTTTGCACATTTTCCAATCTTTGCCCAGAATGTCACCAGAAATATGCAGCTCTCCTTGAACATTTCCACTCCCCTGTTTTTTGAGTAGGAAACAGTTTTACAGTGAGCAAGCCAATGGTGCAGGCTGAGCATTTGGATGAAGATGAGAAAGATTCTCGCCACCAAGGATGGTGCAGTACTCAAGTGCTTCACAGCAGAATGCACAGGGTCATTTTAAGACTAATTGTTAGCTAGAGCTCAGTTCCTTAGGACTGTGTGGCAAACTACCCACCCCACTGTACAGACCTCCACCCTCCAGACAAGATTTCAACCGTGTTCTCATGGGCAGAATTCCACAGACCAGTGAATTCCCCTGGGTGAAAACTGGAGGGAATGACCATTTTTTCTGGGTCCTATGAGAGCTGCTCATCCATTTCTTTCAAGAAAATATCCAGAAGGATTTATCCTCTTACCAAGATGGAAGAAACCTGAACTGCAAGGATGTTACTGAAGGGAATTCTAGCAGCTGGGACAACCACAGTATGTAACAGTTTGTACCCTTACCTTGGGTCCTGGGACACCCTGAAGACCCTGGATTTGGGAGGAGAGACAACATGTCAGTAATGTTTCAGGATGTTTTCAAACTCCAGGAATCCCAGTGAAGCATGCAGTGCAGAGGTTTTGCTCTGTGGGGCAGGAGCCCCCAGCCCAAAGCCTCTTTATCTGTGTAAGGGCACTTCATGTCCTGCTCTCATCTCCACCCAGAGCCTCCTGCCAAGCACGGCCTGGCTGGGGGCCAGGTGTGCTGCTAAGACAATTTCTGCGGTTGATCCCTTTAATCCCATCCATCCCATCTCTCTGCTGTCTTCCCTTTCATCTCCAGCTAACAAACCCTTCTTTCTTTGCCCTCCCGGCCCTGGCCTACCCTGGGGGTGGCTTTGGAAGTGATCCCAAGCATGTTCCCATTTCAGTGGAGTGGCTCTGGCTGTCTCCACACAGAACCCTCCCCAGCCACTGCCTGCTCTAATCCCATTCCCATTCCCTTGCTCCTCAGGTGAATGACTCAAACTTACTGGAGGTCCTGGAGGGCCCTGGGGTCCAGGGGGCCCAGATACCTGGAAAGCAAAGCAAGAGAAGTCACATCAATGTGCTGCCCAAGGGGCAAAGTGGGGCTGCTCAGAGGGGGACAGGGTGCAGCAGAGCTCCTCTGCCAGCCTGGGAAACCTGGGTTCCCCCCAAGGACTGTGTTAGGAAGCAGCAGCAATCCAGGACTGAGTGGCTGGGAAGCAGCAGCAGCACTCAGGGGAGGGTTATGCAAAGGTTGCCAAGCTTTAAGAGCAGGGAAAGTAGTGAGGTTTGTTCCAAAGAAAGGTCCACTTCCACTACTCTACACCATTCCTACAAGGAGGCATAGGATTGTCAGTGTCATATTTTCTGAAAAATCCCCTTGCCCAGGATTCTTCTCCTGGGAAGCTGAGAAGCCTCAGGAAAAAAAAGAAAACAATAATGATCTCATTTGCTTCTCCTGAGTTTAGCTGCTTTGGAATGTGGTCTGGAGATTGCTCATTAAGTTAAAACAATTCACATGTTGGATAAACAATCACAGTCAGGCTGTGTCAGGACTCTGAGAAGAGAACTAGTTTTCACTATTATCTTTTTGGCCTTCTGTCTGTATCCTTTCTCTATTCCTTAATATAGTTTACTTTAGCATTCTTTAATATAATATAGATCATAAAATAATAAATTAGCCTTCTAAAAACATAAAGTCAGATATATTTTTCCTCCCCATGAGGGGGGACCCCAAAAATACCACACAGGGACAAAAAGCAAAGGACATTAAAGAAGCAGTCTGGCCCCACACGTGTCAATGGCCTGTGGGACTCCTTGCTGCAGGGCACTCCAAAGCTAGGGGCGAGTCTGAGGGAAGAACAGGCAAATTCAAGAACACCAAAATCCTTTGGAAAAAAACCAATACATGTGTATAGATACACACGCAAATAATTGCCAGGAAATCAATTACTGCAAATGCTGAGGAGAGTATTTGTTAGGCTTTCCAAGACCTGTTCTTCCCTAGGCATTCTTTATTGGCTGGGGGTTGTGAGAGAGCTTGTTCCTGTGCCAGGGAAAGGAGGATCAGGAGCCAGGGCTGCCGGTGCAGCCCCACAGCACGAGGCTGGCTGTGCCCAGAGGGGCTGTGCCATTCTCCAGCAGCACTGCTGCCACATCACCCTCCCCTGCTGCTGAGATCCCACAGGAACACGGAGCAGTGCCTACCACGGTCACTGGCACACTTGCTGAAAAATCCCCTCGCCAGGATTGCTTCTCCTGGGAAGCTGAGGAGCCTCAGAGAAGAATGAAAGCAATAATTATCTGATTGCTGCTCCTGTGTTTGCTGCTTTGGGACGTGGTCTGGAGATTGTTTATCCAACAGGTGATTGTTTCACTGGTTTCATGTGAATTGTCTTTAATTAATGACTAATCGCCATCAGCTGTGTCAGGATTCTGAGAAGTCAGCCACGAATTTTTAATTAGTATCTTGTTAAACCTTCTGATGTATCCTTTCTCTATTCTTTAGTACAGCTTTAGAATAGCATTCTTTAATATAAGTACATAAAATAATAATTAACCTTCTAAAAACATAGTCAAATTCATCAATTCCTCCTGTGTCCTAGGAACCCCAAAAATGCTACATCCTTGCTGTCCTGGATTCCCTTTGTCTCTGTGCTCTCCTTTTCTCCCAGCACACAGCAGCAGAGCCCATCAGCACTGGCTGTGCTCTGGAGCTCCACTGGAGCTGCCTGTGCAGGCTCAGCATATATATTTATATATAAATATATTTCTCCCAAGAGAAGTGGGAACAGACCCTGTGTTTGACATTCCCTGGGTGCTGCTGGAGTCTGAGGGACATCCTGTGACCCCTGACACAGGGGGAGGGCTCTGAGCTTCCCAGGACAAATGTGCTTCCCAGGGCACATTTAGGAAATGAGCCCTTGTGTGCTGCTCTGTGCTATTTTCTCTTCACCAAGGAAAGAGCAGCCTTCTCTTTTCCATTCTTACTGTCAGTCCTGGAAGTCCAATGGGCCCTGGCAATCCTGATGGTCCTGGTATCCCTTGGTCACCTTGTTCTCCCTTCTCTCCAGTGGGGCCATCTAGACCCTACAGATCAAGAAAGACTTGTGGAGTTTTGCACAGCTAAGTCAGGCAGACACATAACACATCAGTGTAAGAGCCAAGACTGGCTCTGGTCATCCCAAGAGTACCCTGAAAGCCTTGGGCATCCACTGGGCACCCAGGGAAATGCAGGACTTCACCAGCACTGAAAACAGAGGGGCAAAGGGCTGAACATCCTGCTGTCACTGTGGATGCACCAGCCCCCAGCTTGGGGATGGGGTGCTGCTTTCCTGCCTCCAGGTTCTGCCCAGGGTTATGCAGTTTGCTGGACTCCATGCTAGCAACCACTCCCCACAGCCATGTTGGGGCAGCAGGAGTGCCATCCTGGCCATGCCATGGAGAGGCAGGAAATCATTGCACAAAAAGCCCTGAGCAGTGCTGGGGACACGGGAGCTGGGACAGACTGCAGCTGGGACAGACTGCAGCTGGGACAGACTGGGGCTGGGACAGACTGCAGCTGGGACAGACTGCAGCTGGGACAGACTGGTGCTGGGACAGACTGGTGCTGGGACAGACTGCAGCTGGGACAGACTGGAGCTGGGACAGACTGCAGCTGGGACAGACTGCAGCTGGGACAGACTGGAGCTGGGACAGACTGGAGCTGGGACAGACTGGGGCTGGGACAGACTGGTGCTGGGACAGACTGGAGCTGGGACAGACTGGGGCTGGGACAGACTGGGGCTGGGACAGACTGCAGCTGGGACAGACTGGGGCTGGGACAGACTGGAGCTGGGACAGACTGGGGCTGGGACAGACTGGAGCTGGGACAGACTGCAGCTGGGACAGACTGCAGCTGGGACAGACTGGAGCTGGGACAGACTGGAGCTGGGACAGACTGGGGCTGGGACAGACTGGTGCTGGGACAGACTGGAGCTGGGACAGACTGGAGCTGGGACAGACTGGAGCTGGGACAGACTGGGGCTGGGACAGACTGGTGCTGGGACAGACTGCAGCTGGGACAGACTGGGGCTGGGACAGACTGGAGCTGGGACAGACTGGGGCTGGGACAGACTGGGGCTGGGACAGACTGGTGCTGGGACAGACTGCAGCTGGGACAGACTGCAGCTGGGACAGACTGGAGCTGGGACAGACTGCAGCTGGGACAGACTGGAGCTGGGACAGACTGGAGCTGGGACAGACTGGTGCTGGGACAGACTGCAGCTGGGACAGACTGGGGCTGGGACAGACTGGAGCTGGGACAGACTGGTGCTGGGACAGACTGCAGCTGGGACAGACTGGGGCTGGGACAGACTGGGGCTGGGACAGACTGCAGCTGGGACAGACTGGGGCTGGGACAGACTGGGGCTGGGACAGACTGCAGCTGGGACAGACTGGTGCTGGGACAGACTGGTGCTGGGACAGACTGGAGCTGGGACAGACTGGGGCTGGGACAGACTGGAGCTGGGACAGACTGGGGCTGGGACAGACTGGTGCTGGGACAGACTGGAGCTGGGACAGACTGCAGCTGGGACAGACTGGAGCTGGGACAGACTGGAGCTGGGACAGACTGGAGCTGGGACAGACTGGGGCTGGGACAGACTGGAGCTGGGACAGACTGCAGCTGGGACAGACTGCAGCTGGGCACTGTGCCCCAGTTAGTGGCTGGGTTCTGAGGGTTGCTGCCCTCCCAGAGGGGTGTGCTGGTGCCTCCTCTCACTCACACTCAGCCTGCTCACAGCAGGCAGCAAGCTGAGCAGGGCACACGGTGCCCAGAGCAGGGCAGGCCAGCACAGGTGCCAGGAATCCAGGATCTCCTGCCCTGGGGCACTTGCCCCAGCAGCGGCCAGCCTGCAGGAGCCCTGGCCCTGCCCCACAAGCTGGGGGGGCAGCAGGCCCAGAGAGGCTCTCATTTACTCACCGGTGGGCCCGCTTGTCCTGGCTCTCCCCTGTCACCCTTCTCTCCTCTGTCCCCAGCGTGGCCTGGCTCTCCCTTCGTGCCAGGAGCTCCGTCCTTCCCTGGCAGCCCCTGAGGCCCAGGGGGACCCATTTCTCCAGGCTTGCCACGTGGGCCCTAAATGAAATTCGCACAACAACAAGCTTACAGGCAGAGTAAGGCTCGGAGCCTCCTGCTCATCCCTTCCCTCCCAGCTACACCCTTGGGACACAGGACAAAGCAGCACTGCCATGACAAATGCTAGGACGCTGACAAACCATTAATGCTCCTTCTGTGAAGCAAAATGCTTTTTTTCCTCGTGGGAAAAGCAACGGTGTGATAGTGCCAGAGATGACCCAGGTAAGAGCTTTGTGCCTCACCTTTTCTCCATCGTGGCCTGGGGGACCTGGCAAGCCAATTTCACCCTGAAACACAGAATTGTTACTTTGGCACTTGGAAAGCAGCTGTTCTGACTCCTTCTGCGGGGCACTGTGATGGAAAAGGGCAGGCATTGCAGAAACAGCCTGCATGGACTACTCACAGGGAAAAAAAGCATGAAAAATCCAAATTTTTTCCCGTAATCACCAAAAATAAAACATGGAAACCCCTGGGGTTTTCTGCAGTCATAGAATTAAAAGAAAAAAAAAAAAAAACAAAAACACAAAAAAACAACCAAACCAAAAAAAAACCACCAAAAAAAAACCCCAAACAAAAAAACACACACACAAAAAATAAAACATGGAAAGCCCTGTTGAAACATTACATTATGTGACTGCCTGATCATTTTCCCCATCTTGTTGATCCTGAGTGCCAGATCACAGCCCCAGGGCAGTCATGCAGCCCCCAGCCAACACAATCCCACAGTTTGGTTCCCACAAGCTGCTTCCTGAAGGGGAGGGCAAGGAGAAAGGATCCTTCATCTTTCAGATTAGGCATTATCATTGTGGGAAAAGAGATTTTCAGGATATTACTGTGCGTGAGGAGGAGTGGCAGAGGACAGCAGGACAGTCTGATAGTGCTGGGCAGGAAATATTGGAGCACTGGGAAGAGCTGGGGGTGGGAATTCTGCCTGGGCCACTCCTGTGTTTCCCTGAGGTTTGCAAGAGCTGAACTGGGACAATACCTTCTGTCCTGGTGGCCCTGGAGGCCCAGCCACGCCTGGACGTCCTGGGGGCCCCTAGGTAAAGAAAAAAAAAATATTTTCATATTTATATTTTTGTGGTTTGAAACCAAATACCCCTCCTAAGTTTAAGGAATATTCCAAGGGATTCCTAAAATCCTATTTTGCTGGGAAGATGAGCAATGGGGAGCCCTGAGAGCTGCTCTTCCCTGCTCCCTCTGAGCAGCATGTATGACCTCCTAGAGCAGAGAGGAAAGCCCTGATCAGAATCCAAGTGCCAGGAGCAGAAGGCAAGAGGAGCTCTTCTTTCAGCTGTCAGCTGCCCCAGCTTCAGCTCCCAACTGCACTTAAATTGTCAGGCCATCTGCTTAGGGTGGACATATGGCTGCTTGTGTAAAAGCCCACAGCATGGACAGGAACTCACCATCAAGGCCAAAGTTCGTATTTCCTAGAAAAAAAAAAAAAAAGTGAAAAAAAATTAAAAAAGCAAACAGCCATTGCAAAACTTAAGCTTTTTCCTGGAGTTGGCTTGTTCTCCACTAATGTAACACTGGCCCAAATGAGTAAGGAGCTTACAAAATTAAGAAGAGGGAAAAAAAACCCAAAAGCAACCCAAACTAAAACTCCCTCCAAGTCCCACAGAGCTGGGCACTCCATCCTCCCATTCCTTGTGAGGAAGCTTTGGTGACTTTATTCACCACTCCCAGGGCATTCATGTGACCTCTCTGTCCCCCAGTGTCACTGCACCAGCCCAGCCACTGTGGCATCCACATTCTCTGGAAAAACCCCTTTGCTCTTGGGAAGATGAGAAGCCTTTGAGAAAAAAGAAAACAATTTTTATCTCATTTGCTTCTCCTCTGTTTTGCTCATGTGGAATGTGTTTGGAGATTGTTTACCCACAGGTGATTGTTCCATTGGATTCTGCTGTGAGTTGTTTTCACTCTTTGGCCAATCTGGGCCAAGCTGTGCTGGGACTCTGGAAAGAGTCACAGGTTTTCATTATTTTTAGCATTTTGTATCTTTTCTGTATTCTTTAGCATAGTACAGTATTTTTTAATATAATATAGTATCATAAAATAATAAATTAGCCTCCTGAGAACATGGAGTCAGATTCATCATTCTTTCTTGCCACGAGGGTCCTTGCAAATACAATACAGCCAGAGCACAGGTATTCACCAAAACACTGCAGGCAGTGAGCTCTGGGATCAAGGGGCACAACCAGAGCTTCCCTTTGCTGCTGCTGCTCAGGAAGCAGATCTGCTCTATTCCCTGTCTGCATCCCTTGGGAAGCAGCAAAGCATCCAGCAGACACCTCGCAGGACAGGAGGGAGCTCCTCACCTGCAGAGCTTCACTGATGTTCCCATCATAGTCCATCATTTCATCCTTCCCAGGCTCTCCTTTGGGGCCCTGCAAAACACCAGGTCTTCAGCCAGGGGCTGGCACTGCCCTTCCCTGTGGCTCCCTCTGAAAAAGGGGGCTCAGAGGGGCCCCTCTCACCAGTGCCCAGTTTTTCATTTATTAGAGAAAGCCCCTGCAGTGCAGGAGATTCTACAGAATTACACCCAGCTCAGCTCACCATGCCACACCATCAAAGCTGGCAGTCTGGGAAGAGGTGAAGTTGAGGCCAGAATCCAGAAATTGGATTGTTTGACCAGCTGTTAGATGTGTGCATGCATCCACCCTCTTGCTGCCCCTTTCTGGCAGATCAAGGGCCTGAGTCCACACTGGGATGTCCAAACACACCTCTTCCTATGGATGAGCCACCCTGACATGGTCTGGGAAAACGTTTCCCTCTAATGTAGGGCTGAGGGTGTGGAGTGGAGAAAGAGCCCACCTCAAACTTAGCCCCTGCCCATCTGTGAGTACTCTCGGCGACAGCAAAGCCCAGTCTGGGCTGTCAGTGGGGTCCCACTGCCCTCAGAGCCCTCTGAAGGGCCAGAACGCTGTCAGTGAAGGAACACCTACCCTTGGGCCCATGGGTCCCTGGTCTCCCGGTGAGCCACGTTCCCCCTGAAACAGGAAAGTCACAGTTTTAGCAAAGCTTCACTTTCTTGAACTGCAGAAATCACACTCTGCTGCTTCTCTGAAACAGTCTGGGCTAGACAGCTTGATTTAAAATCTTCCTTCTCAGCTAAGTTTGGTGCACACAGGAACAAATGAGCAGCTCCTGAAGCTGGGAGCCCAGAGCTGGGCTGTGCAGAAGCACTCCTCACCTTTTCTCCCTGTGATCCTGCAGCACCAGGCTGACCAACGTCACCAGCTTCTCCCTGGCAGGGAGAGAAAGGAGAGGCACGGGGTCGTGTTGTGTTCAGAGGGTGCAACTCCCCTGCTGGCTTTGCATTTCCAGGAGGAAGAGCTGCAGAGCTGCACCAGCCAAGACCCTTCCTGGGCTCCCTTCTCCTCAGGTAGCCCAAATCTCCTGCCACCACTGCCCACCAGGCACCCTTCTGTTCCACCCAGTGCACAGGGAGTGTTCACACTGGTTTCTCACAGAGGTTTTTGAGCACAAGAAGGGTATTTTTCCTTCCAAAACCAGTTCACAAACTCTCTCACCTGCAGCACGCAGAACAACAGTACTAGAACACTCTGTAGAACCTGGTATCCCTCCAGCAGCTGATCAGAGGTGGGCACACATGAAAACAACCTTTGCTCCTTCCCACACACCTTGTGCTGGGCACAGTCCCTCACAAGCCAACTGTGTGAAGGAAAAACCAAAAACCACTCACCTTTGGTCCAGGGGGTCCAGGCAAACCTGGAGGGCCAGGTTCTCCTTTAGCTCCCACCAAGGCATTCTCAGCAATTCCCTTCTCTCCCTGTTGGCAAAGAAGAACAAGCCACGTGTCTCAGTTCAGATTCTGCACCTCTGTAAGTCCACTTGCTAAAATACTGGCTCAGAGAGACACAGCCAGGACAAGATCCATCAGCCGGACTCCTGACAGCCCAGAGAGCAGCAGCTGGCCAGGAACCAGGACAGCAGGTCCTGCTGAGGGTCCTTGTGGAGCCCTGCCAGCAGCCAGGGCCACACTCATCCCTTTGGCTGCACCAGGCTCCTGTGGACAGCTCTCATCCCCCAACCTCCCCCTGAACACTGCTCTGCTGGTGAAACTGAGCTGATTAAACCACCTGACTGATGATGGTTCTTTGGGAATGCTCCCTCTGGAGCTGTAGCCACAGCCCTGCACACCATGTCCTTTGCACAGAGCAGATAACAAGGCAGCAACAGGAGAGCTTTGCCATGACACCCTCATCCCTTCCTGAAATGGCCACTGGCATTCACTGCACTGCCCCCTTTCCCAAAGGAAAAGCAGCCTGTGCAAGTCTGGTTTGAAAGGTGCGATTTGCACCTGGAAATCTCAGAGCTCAGGGGAAAAACCAGTTCAGGGCTGAGCTTTATGTGACCTGCCCTGGGTCTCTCTGAGCACAGCAGTGCAGCTCCCCACACGCCCAGCTCCTCATCATCCACGGATCCTGGAGCAGGAGGGAGGCTGAAATGCCACAACACATCTGGGGTCATGGTTTTAGAGGGGAACTACTGGAACATGATTCCGTGGTCCTGCTCCCAGGACCACAACCTCCCCATCACTGCATTCCTACAAAAAGGAATCTTTTGTGAGCCTCCCTCACACCCTGACATTCAGCTGAGCAGTGCAGGACGTGCTGCCACAGTCAGCTAAGAATGTGTGAAATGCACAGGAGGGAGGGAGGAAAAGGGGTGAGGGTGGCCCCACCAAAAACCCCCCCGAAAAACAAAACAAACAAAAAAAACCAAACAAAAAAACAACAAAAAAGAAAAAAAAAACCAAAAAAAAAAACCAATCCAAAAAAAACCCCACCAAAACAAACAAACAACCCCAAAAAACACACAAAAACCCTCCAATAACAAAAAAAATAAAAACAAAAAAAAAACAAAAAACCAAAACACACGAAAAAACCCCCCACAATAATACCAACAACAACAACAAAAAAAAACCACCACAACAAAGCAACAATAAAAAACCACACAAAAAAATCAACAACAACAAAAAAACCCCCAACAACCCAAAACCAACCAAACAACCAACCAAAAAAACCCACAATTCAGGACTGAGACAAACCTTTGGGCCAGGAAGCCCAGGAATTCCAGGGTCACCAGCTCGTCCCTTCTCACCCTGTTGGCAAAACAGACACGGTCAGGGCTGACTGTGCAGGCTCCCCATCCTGGAGGAGTGATCTGCTCCTGGTTTCACACCCTGTTTCCCCTCCCTAGGGATTTTATTTTGGGCACAGACCTTGAGCAGGACCGGCTCAAGACATTACACGTTTTTGCCCAACCTTTTGACTATTTCTGCACATCACTGCCATTTCTCTTCAAAAGAAGGTGAATGAGAAAGGGATCCCATGCATCTTCCCTACCCCTCTGGTCTGCTGAACACCTTTCCCTGTCCTTCTCCTGCAGAGGCTTTCCCCGATCCCATGCCCACAGAAGCTGTTGCCCAGGGTGATTTTTAGGTGGAGTGCAGGGCTTTCTGCATGCCCTGCTCCAAACCCCAGCCTCACCATGCTCCCAGACAAACACCAGCAGTGCAGCACCCCAGCTGGCAGCCAAGCTCTGGGACACACACTGGCCATGGAAGCAGTGAGGACAGGGGGGCAGAATGGCAAAGGCAGCAGCTGATGGTGCAAGGTGATGCCTGCAGAGCTGCAGGCTGAGCTGAGTGAGGCACCAGGGAGGATTTCACCAGGGGCAGGGAGCAATGGGCAGCATCCAGCATTCCCTTGGTGAAGTGGCTTTGCTCACACCTGGGCCGTATTTTCCATATTGGAGCTCAATTACTGTATGTTGAAGTTAAGTTCTCCTCAGACCATTCCACCCAGCTGCTAACCCCATGGTTTCCAGGCACACTGTCCTGTCTAGGAGCCTGCCTTTTGCCAGGACAGGGAGAGACTGGAGGTTTCTGTTACCCTGAAGAGATGTCTCAATGCATGCCCAGGGAAAGGTGTGTTCTTAGCCCCTATCCCACAGCTCCAAGACTCAAAACTTGTACAGATTCGACAGAACAACTCAAACCCTCTCTGCCCCCGCAGGAGGCCATGCTGTGGCCTGCAGAGGCTGTGCTGCTCATCAGAGCTCAAGGGCACTCATCTGACATGCAGGGGACCTGCACCAATGCTCCAGGAACAGACATGCACTGGTGCCTCCCTGGAAAATAATCTACCAGGAGCAGTATTTTTGTCAGGCAATTCTAGAGTGCAGTGACCCCTTTCTCCAAGGTAATTTGGCTTCCAGCCACCTGTAAGCCCCCCCTCACCCAGCCTGCTTTCCCCTCCGGAGCATGCACATTGCTAAATTAATGCTCCTCTCCCTGGAAAGAGGGAAAACATTTTCAAGACCTCATACCCACGGAAAAGGTTTGGCATTGAAGCTTTTTGTAAAAATATAATTCTTAATCCTGTCCCAGGGCTCTGTGACTCCCTGATTCTGCCTTGGTACCCCACTTTTCATTTAAGGTCTGCTTTGAATACACACGTCCATAAGAACTACTGAAAACATCCTGTGCTGCCAGAACTAGGGTGCAAAGCAGTGCCTTTCTTGAGGAAGCAGGTCAGGTTCCTGGATCCCTGTCCAGGCTGTTTCAGTGCCTTTCTTGAGGAAGCAGGTCAGGTTCCTGGATCCCTGTCCAGGCTGTTTCAGTGCCTTTCTTGAGGAAGCAGGTCAGGTTCCTGGATCCCTGTCCAGGCTGTTTCAGTGCCTTTCTTGAGGAAGCAGGTCAGGTTCCTGGATCCCTGCTCAGGCTGTTTCAGTGCCTTTCTTGAGGAAGCAGGTCAGGTTCCTGGATCCCTGTCCAGGCTGTTTCAGTGGCTCTCTTGAGGAAGCAGGTCAGGTTCCTGGATCCCTGCTCAGGCTGTTTCAGTGGCTTTATGAGGAAGCAGGTCAGGTTCCTGGATCCCTGTTTCGGCTGTTATTTCTGGAGTCAGGAGAAGGGGCCCTGTCCTCAGTCGTTACCGGGACAAGGCTGCACCCCAGGCACCTCATGCTGCCCTGGGACGTCAGGGCACACAGGAACACACAAACACACCCTTCGGCAGGGGGGGCAGAGCCAGCACAGCACACACAAGCCCCTGCAAGCACCCCAGTGCAGGAGCACAGCACTGCCAGGAGAGCCAGCCCAAACACGCAGTGTCCTACCCGCTGCCCCCTCTTCCCTGGCACACCTGGGGGGCCCATCCTGCCTGGCACTCCAGAATCTCCCTTGGGGGGAAGAAAAGAGACAGAGAACGTTGTGTTACACGGCTGTCACACGCTGTAACATAACCCAGCCAGCCCCACACAACAGGAGGCAGCTGCTCTGGGATGGGGCAGTGCTGAATTTGTAGGCAACCCCAAGAACAGAGAGATGAGTGAATGTGACTCCATGTTCCTAGAAGGCTGATTTATTATTTTATGTTACTATATGATATTAAAGAAAACTGTACTAAAGAATAGAGAAGGGATACAGACAGAAGGCTACAAAGGATGATAAAGAAAACTCGTGACTCTCTCTTCCTCCTGACACAGCCTGACAGTGACTGGTCATTAAGCCAAAACAATTCACATGGAACCAATCAAAGAACCACCTGCTGGTAAACAATGTCCAAGCCACATTCCAAAGCAGCAAAACACAGGAGAAGCAATCAGATAATTATTGTTTTCATTCTTCTCTGAGGCTTCTCAGCTTCCCAGGAGAAGAAATCCTGGCAAAGGGATTTTTCAGCAAATGTGACAGTGACAGGGCAGTACTGCCCCATGCTGCCCTGGGAACTCACAGCAGGTCACCCCACACTGACACAGGAGGGGACAGCCCTCTGCAGGGACATGGGAAGGCTCTGGGGCACACAAGGGGGGGACAAGGGAAGGGGCAGAGGGAACCTGCTTCCTCAGCAAAGTGTGCTCTGTGTCTCTTGTGGAGTAGGGAGGAAAGGAGGAAGGCAGCTGGAAGGTGTTCCCATGCACACACATGTTGCTCTGATTTTTTTAAGTTTTTCTAAGCCTTCTGATGTTTATATTCTTATAATGAACTTTCTAACACACTTTCTGTAAATAACTTATTGTTTGCATTCTTTTATAAAAGAAGAAGCACTTGATGGACTGTTGGTTTGTCCAGTGTCATTGGAGAGGTGGCACCGTCACCCTCCAATCCATTGGCACTTTTAGAAATCTATAAATGCTAAAGTCAAAAAATAAAGTCCCCCTTTTTTCCCTTGAGAACAGCAGTGTGTGCACACTGTTATTTATTTCATGTCCTACAGTGACACACGGACATGAGCAGGAGGATGGAAATATCTGCAGTATGGTCCCTCTCTCACTGGGTATATCACTGTATCCTACTCCCAATTTGCTCAGAGTGGCAGGTGCCATCAGGGCCTGGATTTGGGCACTGGGAAGCACACAGACATTCCTCAGCTCCCTCGGCTGCTCAGGGAGGGGAAAACACATAAACCAACCCGAAGTGCAGGCTCAGAGCAAAACCCCCTGAGAGTACCTTTTCTCCTGGAGTCCCAGGCTCGCCCTGGAGAGAAAGAGACCAGAAAACAGAGTCACAAACCAGCAGGAGAGAGTACAAACCCTCCCAGAGCTACCAGAGCGGGGAAAAGAACATTCATCTATGGGGGCCTTGAGCTGGTAAGTAAGGGCACAAGAGTGCTTCAATTGCCAATTTTTGTGCCTGGAACCTTTTATCTTCATTAGCCAGCTCCCAGGCTGCCATAAGAAACCAGCAAGCCTCAGACTCACAGATTCCATAGACTGGAGTAAGCACCCAGCAGGTGTTTACCACAGAGCAGAGCAGGACGAGGCTCGTGTGCTGGCACAGAGGAACTGGCTCTCCCTGCTCTGTCTCCGCAGCAGAGGAGCACGGCCGCGGTGCAGCCGGGGCGGGCCGTGCTGATCCGAGCCCACCGGCCCCGGGGCAGGCTGCACACAGGCCTGGCACCCCTGCCAAGGGAGGCAGTTCTGATAGTCCCCATCAGTGGGAGCTGTCCGACCATTTTCCAGCGCTCTCCCAGCCCAGCCCGCGCCCAAGCGAGGCGCTGCAGCCCTGAACTGACCTTCATCCCTGCGGCCGCCAGCCCCGGAGCGCCCTGGCAGAGAGAGCAGACAGAGACAGCGACACCTTGTTTGAAATCAATCGGACACGGGTTTTTTTAGGCAAAACATATCAGTCAGGTGAAAGTAGAAACGCAAAACTGCAAAAGTTCTCCTTTCCACAGCTCAGAGTGATGCTGTGACCCCACACAGCACACGTCCTCATCCCCTGGGCAGCTGCTCACCCACGGCAGGGGCTCTGGGTTCTGACAGCTCCTCCAAAGGCAGGCACCCTGAGCACAACCCAGACAAACACATCTGCACCCCCACCTGCCCTGGGTTTAGTCCTGCAAGTGAAGCAAAGGCCAGCAAGCAGAACAGTGTCAAATAGCTGAGGAACGCAAAGACAGACCGAGGACCAAAACCCTCCTCAAGGCTGGAGCTCAGACACCTCAGCTCAAGCATCCTGAGAAAGGCTGGCTCATACCCCAGAGCCTTGCCCTGGCTATTCCCCCTCACAGAGGATAAACCCTGCAGTAAAGTGTTTCCAGGAGAGCTCTGAAGCCAGACACCTTAGGGGAAAAGCCAGACTTGCAAGCACTGCAATTCAGGTGTCATTCTGTCACTGTGCAGTGCACAGCAAGCCACCACCAAGGGACCCTGGAGTGTCCCTGCCCTGCCATCCAGACAGGGGTCTCAGGAGGCAGCTGCTCCCACAGGGACTGTCACATTGCCCTCAACAGCACTGATGCAAAGAGCGGGGTGTCCCTGCCAACCATCCTCTCTGAAATCTCTGTACCCCCTGTGTTAGCATTAGTCAGGTCCTGGTTAGAACAGGTCCAGTTAAAAAGGCAAATATGAGGGGTAACTAAGGAGGGGGGAGGGAGAGAAGTGGTGTTAGAAACTGGGAAATGTGAAGGGGTGGGATGTAGCACATGAGGCAGTGCAGAGGACTGGGAGCCAAGTTCAAAGTGAAAAAAGCTTGGAAAAAGTTCAAACAAGGAGGAGTGGGGAGCCAGAGAGCAGCAGGATCATACCTCTCAGCTTTCTGAAACAGAAATCGGGGACAAAAGCTAAAAAACACAAGGACAGAAGATGGAGATCAGGGATTCTATGCAATAAATGGGGTAAAAGCATTCCAGACTGTCTCAATGTCAGTAGGTTTTAGCCAATACAGGCTGGAGCCATGAAAGGGATAACGTGCAGTGAGTGCCTTTGGTTAGGCCTTTGCAGAGCCTTGGGACGCCTGTCCCTCATTTCTCAGCCTTCAAACAGCAGTGACTGCAGACCATGTTATTTTCTAGCATTTACCCTCAAACTGCAATGCACAGACATGCAGGGCTGTCACACACTGACCCTGATTCACTGCTGGGCAGCCCTGCTCATCCCAGCTGGGCTGGCACACACCTGCAGTGCTCCCCTGGCACAATTCCCAAAATGCCAATTCCCTACAAACACCACAACTGGCTGCTCTCAGCGGGTAAAGCATTAAACCCTGATGTTGCAAGTCAGCACCAGACTGGGCATGCCATTTGCTCTGTAAACACATCTTCCCCCACCTCTGCCTTCGTGAATTAGGCCCTGCATTTTGCAATATAGAAGCATGAATAATTCAGCTGAGGACAGTCACCGGCTCACAGACACACACACACACAGTGCCTGAGCATCAGGGGTGCTAGGGGTGAGGTCAGGCAGACAAGCATCACTCCTCTGGGCACAAGGTACCTTAGAGCCATGTCTTCCTGGCAGCCCTGGCATGCCTCTCTCCCCCTGGAAGCAGAGCAAGACACACAGAGAAAGACAGCAAGAGACAGCAGATGAGTCCTCCCAGGGCACAGGTGATGACAAACCCTCCTGAGTGAGGTGAGGCACTGTCTCACCCACTGACTGCCCCAGCTGGGGCCATTTCCCTCAATTCCCTCTCAATTCTTACAGCAGGACTGACCCCACTGGAGTGCCACAGCCTCCACACCCCGCTCCCACATTCTAGCATGCAGGGACCCTGGCATGAACAAACCTATTGGGAGAGACAGACAATCCAAGGGCTGCCTTGTGCTGTTAGCCTGAATTTTGCCTGCTGATAACTGGAAAATAAACCATCTTCAGGCAATGTGCATACTGCTCCTGTAATTTCTTCTGGGTGTTTATTCCTTGCTCGGAAGGGCTATTTGGCAGGGATATATGTGTGTATATATATATATATATATATATATATATATATATATATGTATGTATATATGTATGTATGCATGTTTTCTCAAAAAATAACTTCTTGTAATTACAGCATCCTGTGAACTACATTTTGTAAAACACTTTCTAATATCACAATATCCATGACCTAGTAGGGGTACCTCCTGCCCTACACTGCCCTATTTTCAGCAGTAAGGAAAGTAAAGCAATAATTAGGCGTACTTTGTACTGGAGAATGTGGATTGGTCTCTCTCCTTCCCAACCGTGCTCCCTGTCTGTTTTCAGTGAGACCCAGCAGGGCAGAGTGATGTTTTCTGCTGGGAGACACCCACCCTGCTTGCAGAGACCATCCCCACAGGGCAGCCCAGCCTGTGACAGTCAATTCCCCTTTCCCAGAGACTCTCCTGGAAGAGCTGTTTGATTCCTTGATACCAGGAAACCTCTTCAGGCCAGAGATGTTCTTCACCGCCAGCCAAAGCAGTGATACTCCATGCAAAATTGGCCACTACAGCTAACCTAGGAATCATGGTGTTTGTCCAGGGCTCCTCAAGGCAAAGAGAAGGTAAAATCTAGTCTAGGTAACTGGATCCAAAGTTGGAAGATTTAAAAGTCTTCCAGGGTCCCAGTCAGTCCTCCTAGGTGGGAGGACAACAGAAAGAAGCAATTTCCAAAGACAACAAATGCACGTGCTGTTGGATGCTCAGGAGCTGAGTGAGGTCTGGCTGCTGATTTAAGAACGCGTCTGCACCTCCCTTTCAACTCCTCTGAGCAAAAAGAAAGGAAGTCAGGAGAAAAGTGACCTTGACAGTAACAAATGATAGTCTGTGTGAGAAACAAGCTGCTGCTTTGGGGCTGCAGAGGTGCCCTTTTGGAGATTCAGTAATCCCAAAAAGCACAATGGGTTTCACCTCTGCTCCTCCTGAAGTGGGTGTGCAAGACATAAACAAAGGGCCAATAGCAAGACTGTGCCTGCAGGGTGGCCCCAAGTCAGGGAAGGCTCTCACCCTCTGCATGGCCCTGAGACATGACTGGAGCGTTCCCTTTGCCAGAACCCACATGCAGAGCCAGTGATGGTACATGGCCATGAGCAAAGCAGGTGTTCCATGCCAGCAGTGAAACATGGGAGTTCCAGCAAGGACAAAACACAGCTTCTCCTTTCAGCCTTTTCTCCCTCTCAGGCAACACTCTGAGTTCATTCCTTCAGTTCAGTTTAATGGGAGACCTGCTGCTGAGAGAGCAGCAAGCTCCAAGCCCTCAAAATAATCAGTTCTGGGTGCAATTCCACCTTCATTCACACTGGCACAAACTGGAGCAATGCCTCTGTGCTTGTGGAATTACACTGATGGGGAGATGTGTTGGGGAGGATGGAACAGGAAAGCCTTATAAATATGATTGTCTGGCAAAAGATTTTGAGAATATGGAAACTATAAGTGAGATGGAAATGAAAGCAAGCTTTGAGATACCTCAGTTACTGAACAACTGAAAAACAATGGCATGGCCAGCTGAAGGTGATCCCCTTGTGATGGAACAACACCCTCTGCTTGCAAACAGGCCCAAGGCTCAGAGCAGACCCTGCCAGTTTGTCAGAAGGGGCCCAAAGAGGAGTTTTTAGAGTTTAAAATGTAACACAGTATGGTAATGTAGTGATTCTTACAGGCTGTATGTAAATGCTACAGGATTTGTATAGTCTACTAGATTGGTTGGCGAGAATCAGAATATTCAACACAGAAGAAGATTTATGGTATTGTAATGGGAACCTTACTCTCTTAGCTCTTGCCTTTTACTCTCTTACCCCTTTTACTCTCTTATGCTTTTCTCTCTGCCCCTCTCTTCTCTCATCCTGCTCTGAGCTGTGGCTGGCAGCTCCCAGCAGGGCCCTGCACCCAGGCCCTCTGCAATAAACCCCAAATCCCAGCAGGGCCCTGCACCCAGGCCCTCTGCAATAAACCCCAAATCCCAGCAGGGCCCTGCACCCAGGCCCTGTGCAATAAACCCCAAATCCCAGCAGGGCCCTGCACCCAGGCCCTGTGCAACAAACCCCAAATCCCAGCAGGGCCCTGCACCCAGGCCCTGTGCAACAAACCCCAAATCCCAGCAGGGCCCTGCACCCAGGCCCTCTGCAATAAACCCCAAATCCCAGCAGGGCCCTGCACCCAGGCCCTGTGCAATAAACCCCAAATCCCAGCAGGGCCCTGCACCCAGGCCCTCTGCAATAAACCCCAAATCCCAGCAGGGCCCTGCACCCAGGCCCTGTGCAATAAACCCCAAATCCCAGCAGGGCCCTGCACCCAGGCCCTCTGCAATAAACCCCAAATCCCAGCAGGGCCCTGCACCCAGGCCCTGTGCAATAAACCCCAAATCCCAGCAGGGCCCTGCACCCAGGCCCTCTGCAATAAACCCCAAATCCCAGCAGGGCCCTGCACCCAGGCTCTGTGCAACAAACCCCAAATCCCAGCAGGGCCCTGCACCCAGGCCCTCTGCAATAAACCCCAAATCCCAGCAGGGCCCTGCACCCAGGCCCTCTGCAATAAACCCCAAATCCCAGCAGGGCCCTGCACCCAGGCCCTCTGCAATAAACCCCAAATCCCAGCAGGGCCCTGCACCCAGGCCCTCTGCAACAAACCCCAAATCCCAGCAGGGCCCTGCACCCAGGCCCTCTGCAATAAACCCCAAATCCCAGCAGGGCCCCTGCACCCAGGCCCTGTGCAATAAACCCCAAATCCCAGCAGGGCCCTGCACCCAGGCCCTGTGCAATAAACCCCAAATCCCAGCAGGGCCCTGCACCCAGGCCCTGTGCAATAAACCCCAAGTTCCTGACGTGGCTGCAGAGATCTCTGCTCTCCATCCATCCCAACCATCCTACCCCCAGCACTCTTACAGAGAGGGACACAGGGAACTACATGCACTGCAGTATTCCTGAGAAGGTGTTCTCTTGTAGGAAGACAATCCCTGCTGCCCTATCCAGCTATGAACCCAGAGGCTGCATTCCCAAAGAACATTTCTTTAAACTCCAAGTAATGTATCCTTGGAAAGCTCTGAAGGGGCCTTTTCTCTCTTCAAACAGCAATCCACCCAGATGGAAAAGATATGGAAAGTGTATGTGCTGCAGGATAAATGAGCTGCATGCCACACACTAAATACTTGAAGTGAACGTGTCACAGTTAATGCCTTCCCAAATATTACAGGGCCAGTCTTTCCTCAGGATGTCTAAGATGTGTGGCATGACACATTGTGCTCTGACTGCCATGAACACTTGCCAATGTTGTCATGTTTTAAGCACAGCCCACATTGAGTAATATACTTGAAATATATGGGTACAGTAAATTTCACTCAAATAGATAACATCTGGGCAGAGACCATATGAGCCTCTAAAAGTGTCCAGAAACAGACAGAAGGGCTGGTGCCAAACCTCAGCCTGAATGGTGGAGTTGGAGTGGATTTGATGCGTCAGCTAACCAGATTTTATGAGGAAACCCCAACTTAGCCCATCAAATAGGGAGATGTAACAAATCACCAGCAAGCTTCATAGCCAGAGAAATGCCTTTGGTAAGAATGGAATTCCACTGAAGGGATGAAGGCAGCCTGAGCTGGCAGCGCCTGTCTGTGGCTCATCAGAGCACAGATGTGGACTCCATCAAACACTCCACAGAGCTGCCTTGCACCCAGCTCCCCTCACAACCCATCAGCCCAAGCAGCAGCATCTCCCAGGTGATCTGCTGTGACTTAGGAAAATGTATTTGTCATGCCTACCTTGATGCCAGCATCCCCTTTTTCACCCTGCCAAGAAAAGGAGAGAGAAAGGGGGGAAACAGAGAGGGACAGTGAGCACAAAGGCAAACCAAGCAAGCAGTAACAGCAAGAGATAAAGTAGCCAAAAGAAGGGTGTGATAAATGCAGCCCCAGCACTCCAGGTCTCCTCACAGCAGCATGGTACCGGTCAAGCACTGGCTGCAGCCCTCCCTCCCCTCCCAGGGAGTGCAAAGGCAGTTTAGGTCCTTGGAGGGCAGGCTGGAGGTTGCCCATACCAACACTCTTCTTCTACATGATAAGGGTGCAGAAACCACTGAAACATCTCATGGTCCAGAGCACCCTCATTTTCACAGCCCTGGTGCAAAGCCTCTGAAGGCTGGGTCGGTTTTATTCCTTAATGGGGGATTGTGTAATTCCTGGTTCAGGACAGCATGGAACCACCTTGGTCAACAACGGCCCAGATTCTTCACACAGGAGCAACTGTTCCTGTCTATGTGGTTCATCCCAGACTCTAGAGAGCTATCTCCAGCCCCTGGCCTTTGAGATCCCTTTAGGACAGGCTGTGCCCCTTATCTGCCCCTCTGACTCGAGTTCAAGGGTTACCTTGGGGCCAGAGGCTCCAGGGAGGCCACGGGCACCGGGCAGGCCTGCCTCACCCACCTCACCCTGGGGGAGAGAGCAAAGAGAACAGTGGAAGCAGCAAACACAGCAGCAAGGAAAGGAGCTGTGGGTTGCAGAAAGGGCAGCAGGGGTGTGAGAGGCATGTCCCACACTGAGGTGTCTCCCACACACCATCCCACCCCTGGGTCTCTGGGAGAAGAGCAGATATTCAGTGCATGAAATGCACGGAGTGAAGGGAGCACCAAATCTGAATTAACAACTTTCCTCAACATTTCACCTTCTCTTCCCTTCCCGTTAGGATTTGGTGCCCTACATTGATCCATTCCTTCCAGCTTTCCCAGGAAAGCCTTGGGCTCACTCTGCAGCCCAGGGCAGGCTCCTGGCTCAGCAGGGATTGAAGCACAGGGGGTGTTTCATGTGAGAGGAGCTGCTGGGAGGTCACTGCCCAGAGCTGCCCTCCCCGTGCACACAGGGCTCCTGATGGAAAACCTTGAGCTCCCTGGGAGAAGGGGCAATAAATTGTGTCTGTCTGCAGGAGTGGGCTGTGGTCTGCAGGGGCTGTAATTTCCACTTCCTGACATAAGAAAACCTTCTCAGTTTATACAGAGCTAATTAAAAAGCTCTCAGCTCTTGCCATTCTGCTTGCAGAGCACCCATAAAGCAACGTGGAGATAACAGGGGACACAGGGCTCCTTCCTGCTGGGAACATTCACCTTCCCCTTCTCCAGCTGACATCTCTTTAGCAGTATCTCTCCCTTCCCTGTCTCCTGTTTGATCTCCCTTTGTGTCCTTCTCTTCCTGTCTCTTCATTACACCCTCTGGGCTCACAGCCCTGCTGTTAATCAGCTGCTGCTGAAGGCACTTGGGCATTGCCAGCTTCTGCCTTTTAACCCAGAGCAGGATTGACTCTCTCCTGTATCCCAGAGAGCAACAGCCAGGGATTTGGCCCTTTTCAGCCTCCCATATGGGTTTGGATGCATAAGAAATGCATTCCAGCCTGGAAGTGGGTGTAGAGAGGCACACACACACAAACACAGGGAGATATTTGTTCCATAGTTTCTGGAGAGTTAAAGACAAAAATCTCTGGGCCCAGTCTCTCTTTACACAGGTGCCAGCAGGGAACCTGTGGGACTGATAAAAGCCCAGCAGGAGCAGAGCTCCACAGGAGGCTCCAGCACAGTCCACAGATTTTCAGCCACGATTCCAGAAAGCATCGGTGCACTTAATTCATGGAACAACACCGGAGCTGCCCTCCTTACCTTTCTGCCAGGGTATCCCTGAATGCCAGCATCTCCCTGCAAAAGGCAAAAAGACAAAAGGAAGTGAGGCTTGGCCTGAGAGGGACAAATCTCTGCTCTGTTCCCTGGGGTATTGTTTGGATGGGAGAGCATTCTAGGGGAAAAATCTGCTTTTTGCTCACAATAATTCCAGTGAGCTCCTGTCCCTTCAGACCCACAGGTCAGCATTGCTGCACTGGGCTGAGCCCTGGCAGGAAAGCCCTGGCATACAGCTAACATGTGTCAGCTCTGTGCCCCAACTCCATGGCTCCTATCTCCTCACCCTGGCCACACATCTCAGATAAAAACAAATTACGTTGGGTGGCTGCAGCTGAAAAACAACAACAACCACCCCCTCCCTCGCACTTTGGCAAGTGAATAAATGGGAAAGCGTGGCAGAGTTAACAATAGCATTGCAAAATCCATTCCTGAAGCACTGGGAAATGCTTTGAGAATGGAAGAAGCCAATAAAGCTGTGTGTGGCAAACAGTTTTGCAAGCTGGGCTGATGAGGCGTGCCTGGCTCAGCAGAGAGGCAGCTCAGACGTGTCGCCTGCACAAACCCATGAGTCAGCACAGGGGCTGGGCCCCAGAGGCACTGCTGAGCTGGGTCAGAAATCCCTCTCAGCCCTTTGATGTAACCTCTTTTACCCCTCCTCCATCCATCAAATGGATCTGTCCTGTCAGGAGAGCCCATCTCTGTTCATCATCCTTCCGCACCCCTAAGTGAGGTGAGATGTCTCACCTTTGGTCCAGGAGGCCCAGGTAAGCCCTGTGGATAAAATCAAAACAGACACTGGGGTTGGAAAGTGTGTGTGACATTACATGGACAGCAGGGTGATGGGGGGATAGTGGCTGGTTTGATTCAAAACACCCCTCAGAGATTTGCACTGCTGAGCTCAAACATCCCCAATCTATTCTTCATGTAGGTATCTTATGGCATACACTCAAATAAACTTATGCCCACCGTGCTCTATCCCCCAAGGTTTGTTCTTGCTCAGTTTGAAGACTAAAAAGCTGCTTTGCCTTATGCGTTATGCTCCAGAATATTTTCTGTTTCTCTGGCTTCCTTGGGGAACTTGTTCCCAGCCCACTGCAGCTCTGGAGTAAATCAAGCATTTGCAGCTTCCTCTGGCACGCTAAACAGAGAGAATGTATTAACAAACAAACCACTTGTGTCTCTAAATGAGAAATACCCAAACAATTTACCTGATATGAACCATGAAGCATACCAGACATACGTGTGTATAAATATAAATAAACAAACGATGTTTGCAGGAGCTGCCTGGGAGCAGGCAGGAAAGGAAAACTGCTCTAGATATGCTCTGATGGCCACGCCACCTGCTTTGGCAATTCAGGTGTTTAGCCATCCTGTCCTTGACTCCTCAGAGAGAGATGAGGATCTCTCAGAGAGAAATGAGGGTGCTGACCCCTGTGTTGTGTGTGGAGAGGTGCATTTGCCTCCAGGGATGAGACTTGCTTTTCCTGCTGGCAGCCCTTGAAAACTGCTGGAGATGGCAGCTCCTTTAACTCCCAGTGCTGCAGAGCCAGCACGGCACGTTGGCCCCTGCAGCTCCCAGGAACAGAGCTGGACTCTGGTACCCACCTTTCCATCTCTGCCAGGCTTCCCAGGTTCTCCTGCTCTGCCCTGTGGCAAGAGAGAGGCACATTAGCAGCACTTTCTGTCCCCTGCCCTGCCATTCAGCAGAGGTTTTGTTTTCTAAGTGGTGCTTCTGCTCCCACCCTCCTCGGCTGCTTGCTAGGACAGGGACAGGACTTCAAAGGGGCGGCAGGGAGCAGACAATTACACCCCACTGTTACTTCCTCCCCGGGGCCATCTGCAGGGCTGAGGAGGAGGAGGAAATGAGCCTGGTGTCACCCCCTGTGTGTCCAGATAGCAGCAGTGCCCAGGTCCCATCTCTGCCTTCCCTCTCCTTCCCCGGAACCCCTTCCTGTCCACACATCCACATTCTCTGCAAGCCTCCTGTCCTGGCTATCTCAGCTTCACCAGCAGCAACAGAGGCCAGAGGAGGCAGCCTGTGCCCTCGGGGATGGGGAAGCAGAAGCATTTCAGTTTTGCTAAGGACTTACAGGAGGTCCAACTGGCCCAGGGCGTCCCGGGATTCCTTCAGGTCCAGCTGGTCCAGGGGGTCCTGGTGGGCCAGGGGGCCCCGGGGGCCCTTGGATCCCCGCCTGTCCTTGTTCACCCTGCAGTTTGTAAAACAAGAGTTACAGCAGGCACAGCAAACCCTTCACACCACCACCCCAAGGGCCAAGGCAGGCCAGCAGAGGAGACAGAAGCAAGTGCCAGGTTACTGCCAGGAGAGGTTTCCAAGAGTGATGAGAGCCCTGCTGAGGACATTGGGCTGCCCGGGAAGCAGGAGCCAGCACCCAAAGGTTTGCAAAGACATCTGAGGTGACCAGCTCAGAGCTCCCTTCTAGAGGGATCTAGTGATGACAGAGCAATCCAAAGAAACCCTTTTCTTCATTGAGCCAGCCAAGTAAAATTTATGTGTCAAAGACCAACATCTCTTGAGTCTCTGAGGAGGCTTTCCAAAGCACTTGACAGTCACACGTGAAGCAAAGCCTCCTGTGACGACACTGGCACTTCCAGGCAGAGACACCTCAGCCAGTTTTTCCCCCATCCTATATTTGTTGGACAACTCTCCCTCTGTTTTGCCAAGGACCAAAAGTAGAAATGCCACAAACCCCAAAGAAAATAACACGATGATCATGGCATTCCTGGAGGCCAGCCAAGGCAGGCCCATGGACACCAGGCAGAGCCTGTTTTTCTGGGATTTAACAAGGCAGTGCCTGCTGAGCCACCTGCCATTCTGAGCTCTGTGAGATGGAGCTGCTGGAGCCAGCTCCTCCCCAGGCCCTCAGTGCCCCTCGGTGCCTGTGGCTCATGCCTCAGCAATGTCATCTGGGGCTGCACGTGGCACCAGGCGGCACGGAGGAGACAGTGGGTTGGAAGCAGCACGTTTGAATACCAGACTGCTGATCTAGAACTGATGAATCCAGCTCCTAGGGCACTGTGGCACCCGTGCCAAGCTGTTCACTCTCTAGGCTCACCTCCCTAGATAAAACATGAGAGCCTACTGCTAGTGATCCCATTCAAATCTGAAAAACTTCCCTTGGTGGGTCCATGGGAAGCTAGAACCCAAACATGGCTGTTTCTCAGTTAAAAGTCAGTGGGTGTGCAGTGGGTCTCTGCTGCATTTATCCTCTCTCCAGCCTTACACACTGGAGGAAAATGCACGAAATCTGTCCCCTGCGTTCCTACCAAATGCGCTGTTTATCCTGGCTGCCTTCAGTGAAACATGCAGATACAGGGATGTTTGCTTTATTTAGAATGATAAATGAAAGTAATAAGCTGCAAATTTCATCCTTTCTGCCATCAGCTCTATTTAAAAGAAAATTTCCAGCGTGTGGGCCAGGCTCACGAGAAGCTGGGTCATGTGTGGAGCAACAGCCCTTTCCTTTCCTTTGCTGTGCCTCACTGCCCAACCCTCAGCCCACACTGGGAAGCCTGCAGGGCCAGGCAGGAGGGGTGCCCTTGCTTCTCCCCACTTTCAAAGTGGATCTTCATTCATCCTGTGGCCCTTGCAAGGGAATGCAGGTTCTTTCCTAACTTCCTTATCCTCCATACTCAGTGCCATTCAACTGTAAATGGTCTCATAGCTTTTAAATATGGAAGGTAATCTGGATCTAATGAAGATGTTGGGAGGACACTGGAATGTATTTCTAGATTTCCTCTTGCCTTGCCCTCCCATTCCACCTTCCAAGACTTCCTTCTCACTGCACCTTATCACATCCCCAGCATGGGTGCACCATGGGAAGGCAAAGGGGCCTTTGCCCACCTCACTTTGGCACTCTCTCCCTCTGTTCTCACCTCTCCTCTCTGCCAGCCCAGTCCATGCTCCAAATTTAGGGCAATTTAGGGCACTAAAGCGCAGCATGGTGCTGGAACAGGGTGCTGGTAGGAGAGACGGCAGAGCAGGAGCCCTGCCCCAGCACAGGGAGTGGCTGCAAGGAGCTCACCCACCCCAAGTCCCGTTTGCATCACCCTCACTCTGCTGTCCTGGGCACAGCAGGCTTTGTTTAGGCAAGTGCCCATCCTCGCAGATCCCTAAACACACCAAGTGTTATCACCACATCATTATAGCCTCATTAATGTGTTCAGCACAAAAGGACCCCCACAGAGCTAAACGGACAGCGAGTGGGAGATCAGGTGTCATTTTCCTCAGTTGTCATTCTATATTTTTAGCTGTCGACTGGAACAATTTTTCAGTTCTTTTAAAACACCAGCCAGCCACCCTGCCTGCACCCCAGCAACGCAATGCTTGCTCAGCCTCCTCACAGAGGACCCCACTCACTCAGGCCATGCTCAGCTAAGCCCCAGCCCTTGGGCGAAGCACTCCTGTGCTCAGAGCCAGCAGCAGGATTTTCCTCTCTAACATCCATTCTGCAGCCTCACTGTTTTCCTTACTGCTCACAGGCTGGGCTCCTGGAATTGCCTGGTGCTGGCAGATCTGTAGGAGCAGACCCCACCCTGTTGCTTTTAGAGAATGAATACAGCAAAGGCAAAATGGATCATGGCAAAACTCCGGTGAAGTTCTCCTCTGAGGACAGGGGGAATTTGCAGCCCTGGCTGACGACAGGATGCAGGGCAGCTATTCAAGTTTCCCACTTCATCCTGGAGAGGAACTTCAGCTTTCAAAGCCTTCCCAAGAGGTCAGTCCTTGGCCTGGCTCTCCAGACTGTCACTTTGAAGGGCAAACAGCGCAATCCACGGGGCTCTGTGTGGTGTGAGTGCTGAATCGATAGAAACTGAACTGAAACCACGGGCTCACATGCTCAGGAGTCATGCAGAGCTGGGCAAGGACCAGGCACCTCATGGTAAAGCCTCTTGCATCCTGCAGTTCCCTGCTGGCATCCAACTGTCTAGACAGGCACAGGGTGACAAAACCCAGGCACTCAATAAAGAGTGCCCAGCACACTTCAGCAGGGTAACTGCAACAGTTTGTCCACACAGGAAAGCTAATCCCAACTGATGGAATGAGGGAGCATAAAGTGGGCTCATTAAAAGCCACATGAACTCTGACTATGGACACTCTTATTCACTGTTCATATGTCCGTAATTCACTTTATGAATTTGTTCCCAAAATAAACTAAACGTGAATTATGGCCCTGGAAACCAAAATAAATGTGTTTACACAAAGATTTAATGCAATTTAATGAAACCATTCTAAGAGCTTATTTAAACACATTCCCCCAAGTGCCTCAGACTAGACTAGCCCTTAGAAGAAGCGTTTGCCTATTCATTCATCTCAGTTAAATTTCACAGACATTAGATGAATTTCAGCAAGAGGCTTCCAACCTCTTCTGGAGATTGAATATGCAGGAACTGACTCCTTAAGGGAGGAGGCTGCTTGTCGACAGCCCCAAGAACAGCTTCATGGCCCATTTCTTTTAGTCCAAAAATCTGCCTTCACCGCATTTCTTTTTAGCAACATTATCACATCAAAGGTTTCCTCCGCTTTCAAGAAAGTCCCTCAGCTCTGCCTGAAACTCTTGGAAAGCCCTCTGCAGGGGAAGAAAGACAGGTAGCAAGCTGATGAATCGCGAGCACTGGGATAAGCTCAGAAACAGGCAACAAGGAGGAGAAGTCTACCTGGAAAGTGCGTCTCTTTATGACCGGAGGTGGAGCCAGCCGCACTGAATTGAGGAGAGGCAGCAGCTGAAGAAGATCAAACCAGAAGGTCACAGGGCAAAGGAGGCCATGAGGGCAGGGAGAGTCACAGAGCAGCCAGGACAGAGACCAGAGAAGGGGGGAACAGAGAGGTTGCCATGAAAATGAAGCCTGGCAGGAGAGCGGCGTGGGGCAGGTACCTGCTGGCACACCTCTGAGCTCCTGGTGCTGCTCACAGGGGCACAGCCTGGCAGCTCTGGGGTGCCCACTCAATACCATCCCAACGCACAGAGCTTTCACAGCTCACTCTGCCTGGAAACAGCCAGGGGATCTCTGACTCAGCTCTGCTGATCTCTTTAGGAAGTGCTCCCTGCAAGGCATCCCTCGCTGGCTCTGCTGGGGTGTCCAGCAATGGGACTGTTTCTCTTAACTTACCATCATCATCAGAGTTGGGGCATCTATCAGAACTACAATTTTCTCCAGGTTTTCCAAGTGCAGTTTTCCAGCTCTCTTACAGAAACCCAGTGTATCTGCACGCACCTATCAGAATTACAATTTTCTCCAGGTTTTCCAAGTGCAGTTTTCCAGCTCTCTTACAGGAAACCCAGTGTATCTCCAGGTTTCCCCCTCCCTCCAGGTGTGGAAGGGAGCAGAGAAAGGCTGGCTGGGGTCAGCACAGAAGTCCTGGCTTGGTTCACTTAACTTGGCACACCCACCCACCATGGCCAAGGGACAGGACCAGGCCTTGGAGCTGGACACCTAAGTAGGGCATTGCCCTGGCAGCCCGTGCTTTGTTTTTCCTTGCTCAACAGTATCATCACCTTCTGACTGCTTATAGCCAGGAATGCTGCCTTAGGGCACAAAGCTGACCCGGACACACAGAAATCAAATGCACTAAAGCTCAGGAGCATTTGTTCATCCTCTTGCTGTATCCAGTTTCCACTTGCATGCGCGCTGCTGTCATCCTGGCACCCACCAGTCGGCTCCAGGCCCAGGAATGCTGCCCTGGCCTGATCCACTTTCCTGTTCCTATCAGTTTTCCATTGAAGCTGCTCTTGACTTACATAGGGAGAGGTGAGAGAGCCTTTCTGTGCTTGGGCACAAAAACACGCCCATGTGTGATATTTCCCCACGTGAGCTGTGCACTCAGACCCAGAGGTGTGCCCACAGGCGTCCCACCACAGAAACCATACCCTTCCAAGGAGCACAGTTATTCCCTTTAGACATTGTACTTCATGTGTGCAGTGAAAGCAAGGATCCAGTCCTGATGCAAAGAGAAGCAGTAACCCAGTTTTGCAGCATCATGATTAGGTGGTTGTGCTCAAATGCACTGATCCAGACAGCCACAAGCTATCACTCCAAAAGCAGTGCTGCTGGAAATTCAGCAGGGCTCATTTTACCCAAAGGCAAACCTCCCCTTTCTCAAAGACAGTGCAGGAGGCCCCTTAGCTCAGGAGAGCCAGCTAAGCTGGCTTTGCCCGGTTGCTTAAGTGCTGAAGGGTATCTGAAATATCACACAGCTCACAGGGAAGCTGAGGGAGGATGCTGGAAAGGATAAGGAGGAAAATGGAGAGAACCAGTCCTGAAAACAGGCAAGACAAGACCCTGCAATGGATTCAGGGGAGAAGAAATCTGAAGGCACTTCCACCCAGCTCCTGCCCCCTCTGTGTTCCAATGGGAAGTTTTTTCAGAAGGCAGCGTGCAATATTGGATCTGCTCCCCCAACCTTTGCACCAGAACTGGATCCCCTGAGAGCGCTACCCACAAACCTTCAGCGTAAGGATCTGGTTAGAGCGCAGGGCTGCGAGTGTGGTACTTAGGTACTCCTGGGGACAGGGAACACACACCAGACAAACAGGGTCAGAGACACAAACAGCACTTCTGAGAGCCAGACAGCACGGATGGTCCCCCCACTTTCCCTGAGTGCACTTGGCAGCAGCCTGAGGGGCCCGCACACCCTGAATGGGCAGCACCCACGCACGGGCTCATCCCTCACAGCAGTGCAGGCCACACAGACTCACGCAGACAAAAAATAGGAATCTACTAGAGCCAAGGCACATATCCTAACCTTGTACTTCCTTCCTAAGAAAACAAATATGAAACAAAACTGAAACAACATGCCCGGTTTGTCAGGATGCTGGTTTTCATTTCCTCACCCAGAACATCCGACAAAGAGCCTTATCAAACAGAAAAGCAAGAATTAATTGCAGTTCTGTCAGCAGTGTCGCATTCTTGCAACAAGGCCCATCCTCATTTTCATTCAGGGAGGAAGAAAGAGAACTGCACCTTCTGCTGGCTGGTCTGTGCCTCTGGCTCCACGAACTTGCAGGTCAGGACAGCCTGTCCTTGGGTTGATCTGAGGACAGTCACCCTTCCCGTGAGCGTGTCTCAGCCATGAACAACTCACGGGCTTTTTATAACGTTGAGCTTGGTGCCTCATGAGACCGTGAGAGGCAAGGGAACGCTGCCAGGACGTGAGGCTTTGCACCCACCCTTTTCCTGCAGCTCACCAGCCACCCTACAACCCTGACCCACCAAACCAGTGTGCCTGAGCCCAGGCTATTCCCAGGGATGCACCAGCTCCCTTCCCAGCGCTGCTCTGGGTCCTGCCACTGCTTTTCACCTTGAGCACTGGGACACTCAGAGCCAAGGGCTGTAACAGGAACTCAGGACACTGCTGGGTGACCAGTGTTGTTGGCTTGTTTTTAACATAACAATCGAGTGAGCTGCTCCCTAAATAAACACAGCTGAGCGGCTGTTACTGCACGGACTGGCACCTCCCCACAGCCCCTCTTGCTGCCAGCCCAGCTCTCTCTGCAGTGCCTCTGCTGCTCCAACCCTGCTCCCTCCGGGCCAGGGCCCAGAGCCCAGCTGATTATCCAGAGGCCCATCAAAAATAAACAGAAAGCTCTTAAGCTTGTCTCCCTGTACACCCAGATTACAAATTCCAGCCACTTCATATGATGTCGTTCCAACGCATTTCCAGTGGATTTTCAGCACTCTGGTTGTTTTTAGAACTGGTTAAATCCCCTCCAGCCCCATGATGTTCTCTCTCCACTCTTGGCTGCAGCACTTGCTGGCCAGGCCAAGATGAAGGAGCAGGTGGGGCAACATCCTGGCTTTCATTAAACAGTTGCTGGCATCAACCCTCCCACTCAGGCAGATCTTCCACCAGCCTTGGGGACCAGCATGGGGACCAGCTCACTGGGGAGCTGACAGAGCACCATGGCCAGGGTCACCCTCAGGCAGGGAGCATTCTCCTTGTCTCTATGCAGGGATGACACCAGCAGAGGGAGAAGAAAAAGGGAGGAATGATGATAGAGTTTTCCCCAGGTCTTCAAGGAAGACAGCACGGAGCCAGTGCAGCAGCTCAGGCACGAGTGGGTGACCTCTGCTCCTCCAGAACCGCCAGGTTTCACTGGGCTTTGGGCTGAGGATGTGGATCTCTCCCTCTCCAGCACAGAGCACAGGAGGGTCTCCAGGAAGCAGAACTGACAGCAGCTATCCGGGGGTCAGCTCTGGTGGGCAGGAACACAGACCGGATAGCCAACATCCCTCCTGGAAAACCTTATCTGCTGCTTTTCTGCGAAACGCATCCATCAGCCCAGCACTGCCCCGGGGCCCAGATGACGCATCTTGTTAATGGAACCATCCCCACCTCCGACAAAAAGGCACTCAAACCAAGGAGGATTAACATGCAGGAAGGCACGGGACAGAGGATAACAACGCTAATGACTTACCCTGTGCGGGTACTCTGCACACTGACCCTGCGAAAGAAGGGGATTAAAAAGGAAAGAGTTGAAACCACAAACAGAGGCGACCAAAATAGGCACGCGGGGTCAGAGCCAGACGGTGTAAATCATTGTGACTCTATCAGACTGAGTGCAGCTATGCCAATTTGCACCCGATAAGCACCCTGCCTCCTGTCCCATCCCCTGAGCCCTCTGCTCTTGGTACTTCTCACTCACAGCCACATCAAGCAGCACCAAGTCCCTTCCTCACTTTTAACAAGGCCCCCATTGAAATTACCTTCTCTCCTTTTTGTCCTGGGGGTCCCTGTAAGAGAAAAGGCATCAAAAAAGGCCTCAGTAAATGAAGGAGTTCAGAGAATGCAAGGGGAGAGGGATTCAGGGGAGAGATACTTACAGGCTGTCCCCTGGGACCTGCAGCACCCTTTAAAGAAACACAGAATTTAACAGGGGATGATTTGCCATTTACAGTGGCAAAAAGACAGAGTATGGAGTAGGTGAAAAACTGAGCTTTCAAAAACAATTGTGAAGAAAATTCCCAAGAGAGATCCGGGTTCCCTTTGTTACTCTGGAGGAGTGAAAAATGCACACGTGCTCTGGCTGCGCCACAGGGGGGGGAATTAAAAGGAGAGGGGGAAAAATCATCGGGAAAACACAGCCTTATTGTTCCCAGGACCTCAGCTGACAGCATCTCCTCAGCCACGCTCTGGGATGGAACCAGAGGCAGCCAGGACTGAAGCCTGAGCTGGGATTGTGCGACAGGGGACTGGGGAGGGGGATCTCCAACATGTGCTTGCCAGAGGGCTATAGGGACACTCGGGCTCAAAAAGCAGAATTACAGAATTAGCAGAAGAAAACATTCAGCACTTCAGTGAGCGAAGGCGACTACAGGGCCTCCTTCTTGACACACTCATATTTGGGATTTCATTATCAGAGATGTCAAGAGGAACGAGACAGCATTTGGGCTTCCATAAAGTGCAGTCTGAGTTTATCATTTTCCACCAAAAGCATTTTAGTATGATGCACATATGAAACAGAGCTTCAAGAGGCTGTGGGGGGAGTGGGGGGAACCACATTTAATACAAAAAACATGCTTTTTTTGGTTGTTGTTAGATAAGTTGAAAGCTGCCAGATGGGTTTTCAGAAATCTTTTCATCAACTTTTACTTGTCCTATGAGGCCAACCACAAAAAATGTCAGCTCCCAGAATATATTTAAAGAACATAATTGCTAAGTGCAAGGAAAACACATCCCATGCCTAACTAGAGAGTTGCTGTTGTGACATGACGAATGTGCTAGCCATAATGCAAAAATTACAGACATGCATCCCAGCCCTGCTATTATGAAGTTACAGAATTAGGGATGCAGCTAGTGCATCAGCTGAGGGAAGATTGCTACCCTGCCTTGTTTCCAGCTGAAGCACAACATCATTGCAAACCAACCCACCACCCACACACAAACAGATGGATTTTTACCATCTCTCCCTTCTGTCCAGGATGCCCCTGCAAAAGAGAGGAAACACACATCAGCTTTGGCCTCTGCAGACTCTAGGTGATGTTGATTTAACAGCTTCTGCTGAGTGAAGTGTGTGTCCCCAGAGCAGAACAAGAAAGGGGCTGCCACATCTCTCTTGGGGGTGAAGTTCCTCGTGGCAAAACCAGGAAATGAGAAGCCAGAGGTGTGAGCTACCAGCTCCTTCTCCCCTGCAGCACTGGAGGAGTGTGGTGGGGAGCCTGGCTGCATGGCTGCTGCATGGAGCTATGGGTCTCATGCCCACTGGGTTCATGGAGAAGGAGCTCATTTGTGCCCAGCTCTGAAGAACTTGGGTTTCTACTGCAAATCTCTAAGGACAGCATGGAGGTCTCACAGAATCTTTAGGATCCTTCTCTCCTCTACTGCAGCTTTTTGGTACAGCAGCTTTTGGCTAAAAAGCAGAGGGCTGATACCTCAGGGACCTGCTCTGCCTGATTCTGGTGGCAGTGCCTGCTTCACAGGCTGCTGCACCTGTGAACTCCCAGTTTACAGATTTACCTAGAAAGAAACAGGCCATACTCTGCCTTCCTGCATCTCCTGACTCCTGCATCTCCCCCAAGGCATCTGTGGCATCCTCCTGCCTGCCAACCTCCTCGCTTTCTTTTAATCCATGCATGTGCATGGCACCGCAAAACAATCCCCTTCAAACACAGGGTGTAACACCGAGGTTCCAGCCCAGTGGGACCAGCAGGAGAGCTGTAACACCCAGTGGGACCAGCAGGAGAGCTGTAACACCCCGTGGGACCAGCAGGAGAGGTGTAACACCCAGTGGGACCAGCAGGAGAGGTGTAACACCGAGGTTCCAGCCCAGTGGGACCAGCAGGAGGCAGGGCAGAAGCCTGCAGAGTTCTTTGCTTACCGGTTTGCCATCCAAGCCAATAGGGCCCTGAAATGAAAGAGGACAAATGATGAGAAACGCTTTCCCCAGCATCTTGTACATCTTGTCCACCTGCCCCAGGAAGCACTGTGTGCCACAGGACTGCGTGGGCTGGGATGATGTGAGGTGATTCCCTGCCCTCCTGTCCAGGCCTGGCAGGTCCTTGGCTCGTTGAGAACCAGCCCAGATTTCAAACTGCTTCAGCAGGGACCTGCTCACTGTCAGCACATTTCAGCAGCAATGCTGGACACGGGAACAGAAACAAGGAGGGATTCACATGCAATTTGCAAAAATAAATCTCAGAATTTAAAATTTTACAGTGTTGGGTAAACCAGTTGAACACCAGTAGTTTTCTCGGGACTTTGATTTAAAAGGGCACCCGCCTTTGGGGGAAAAGGAACTTTTGCAAGTGACAGAATAATAAAAGTGTCTCAGGGAAGAGGTGACACACAGCTCAGCACATGCTGAAGGTACTGTTTGATGAGAAACAGGCTCCACAGGGGTTGTTTTCCTTGTTTGGGATAGGGGTATTTCTTAGGATGATTTTCTTTTACTCAACAGATCTGGCTTTAACTTTGTTATTTTAACACTTGGGGATTTTTTAAAATTAATTTCCTTTCAGAGTTGTGTGGTTTGGTTTAGTAGGTTTTTTTTTCTCCCTAAGTGTTGTTTAAAAGAAGCAAAAAAAGTAGCAGAAAAACAAATGAAGAAAAAACTGCTTTTTCCAGTGATATCAGGTCAGGTCATTGGTTTCAGGAAGGAATGATGAGCTACAGCAAGCACTTAGGAGGCTTCCTAGTAGTACCACACATCCGTACCTCATAAATTCAGAGCTGCACTTACCGGGAATCCAGGAAAACCTCTTGTTCCAGGCTGTCCCTGGGAAGGATGAAACAGAGACAGCACTTTAGAGGAACTCAAATGAATTTTGATGGATCCTAAGTCCTCTCTACAGAGCCTTTCCTCCAGCCTCTGACCAATTATCCTACAACTCTCTGAAGAGATACCCAACTCCCCTCCAAGGGGAAAGTGTCTTGGGAAGGAGGGGAAATCTCTCCACTCCAATTTGTACAGGGCCAAGAAAAGGCTGGAGCAGCTCCAGTTTGGATTACAGGCAGTTTCCTTGAAGTTTCTACATTAATTAAATGGGTGTCCCTAGCCCATATGTTAGGCTTTTGGAGTATATTCCAGAGGCTGAGCTCATTTTATGGCAGTTCTTGCTGCCATAAACCTGAGATGTTTAATGCAGGGTGCTGTTCTGTGCAAGACAAGACTGCAGGTCACTGGTGTCTAAATACAACCATCCCTCTCCTCCTCCAGCCCTCATCTTATACCTCAGCTCATTCATTTTGCTCAGAAATAATTCTGGAGGTGGTTTTTTTTCCCTCTTCTGTTTCTTTTCTTTTTATTTTTATCCTCTGAGAGCTAAGACAAAAAGGAGAGTTGGGCTGTGTGATGAGAGGAACATGAGCACCACGACTTTTCCCCCTGCCCCTTCCTGGCTAGCTGTGGCTACCAGTTTGGGATCAGGTACAGCAAACACTGGCTTGGGATGAGTTTGGCAGCTTCTTCATCCCCTACTTAAAAACACCAAAAAAAAAAAAAGAAAATGTGCTGGCTGTTAATTTTTCATAGTTCTTCAATTTTTGGGGCTTGTGACATCCCAGGTCACAGTTACTGTAGCTTTGTTGGTATCCAGGAAAGATGCCACTTCATTTAAGGATTTTTCAATCTGTTTAAAAAAGAAAAAGGTCAGGAAGCATATGGTCCATCTGGCCCAGACTTCAGCAGATCTTGCAGCAGTCTCATGTGGACAGAAGCAGCCGGATGAGGTAAATCCTGTGCCACGCTCATCAGCTGACCACTGTGGCATGCCCTGAAAGCTGGGCTGGCATGCCAAAATGCCCAGCTTCCTTATGTCTTCTCTCATTTTGGGAAAAAAAAATGCTTTCTTCAGCAATTTGAGCTACCATGAGTGGACTGCTGGAATTTCCTAGGATAGAGCTGGGCATAAACAGGGTGTCTGCCTTAAACTAGAGTGATCCCATGTGGTGCTGAGGGAAGGGAAGGGCAAGGAAGAAATGGGGCTCCTGGGCTGTGAGGCTGAGGTTTGCCACAGTGAAGCAATAACAACCCTTTGGGAGACCTCAGAGTTGCACTGACAGGGAAAACCTTCACCTTCCTTCAGGCAACACCTCAGAGCATCTCTCTGTCTGCAGAGAGACTCAGTGAGGGTTTATCCCTGCAGAGGATGGGCCCAAACAGCCTCTTTGCAGGGTTTGAGGGATGCCCCCACCACAGAATCCCTCACATCGCAGTCAGGAGTTCTGGTTTGCTGTGCAATGCTAGCAGGAGCTAATCACATTTGCACTATTTCTTTAGTTCTGCAAAGCTGAACTCGGTCAGCTTTGCTTTGCAAGATACACACAAAACCACCTGGCCCTGTTGGCCAGTGACCAGGAGGGAAGATAGGCTATAAATTAAAGGATCTGTCCACTGCTGGCTTCTGAAAAGGCAAGAAGCGAGAAGATCCTAGCCAGAATTCTGGTTCCCTGTTGGACACCTCCCTGACAAAAAGTGCTAAAAAAAGAATTAGGGAGAAAACCTGGAAATGGTGCAATTTGGCTTCCTCTGTAGACTACAGACTGCTGCTTCTCTCTCCTTGGAGGACAGCAGGATGATTTGCACGGTATCACGCCAAGACAACAGTTCAGCAGCGAGCCACTCCAAGAGACTGTTTTTGTTGGGTGGCTGGTTTTCCTTGTCTCCTTTTTAAAATGTTGATTGTATGAAGTACGTAATCCTGGGAGCTGCCAGATCATGGAGACCGTCTGTTTCTGCCACTATTGGTGCGCTGGCCCTCTCTGGCCAGGAGCTGAGCAGCTCTGAGCTCCGGCAAAAACTTCAACCTCCAAACAAAAATCTGGAAACTATTTGTCATCCCACATCTTTCCCAGTGGCCCCTTGGCCAGGGTTTCCGTGTTTGTCCTCAGTGCTCAGCCATCCTTCTGACCTATCACCAGCTCCCCAGGAAACGGGATCATCTTCACAGTAGGCTTTGCAGGGGGAAAGCGTGGAGCTGGGCTGCTCCTGGCACCTCAGGGCTTTGACTGGTGTAGGCAAAACCCCATTTTAGACACCATCTGCCACCTAATTTTTCTGCTGCTTTAAAGATGCAACGTGTTCTGCACTTTCCCAAACGGCAGCAAAGCAGACAAAATTGTCCTGCAGGCCAAGCACGTGTCCTTCAATAAAACTGTCTCCTTTGCAGGACCTACACGGACAGGACCTGATGGCTTTTCTCTCTGATTACTATAATTACCCTGTTCAGACCAGAGCTTGTGAGAAACAGCAAAAACAACGGGGCACTTACCCTCCAAAATCTGCTGTTTGTGCAGCAGGGTGGTCTTGCTCAGGGCTTGGCTTGAGAGACTTGCCAGCCCCTGTTCTTTGCCTGGACACGTGGCCAGGGGCCATCTGCCAGGCATAAAACCCTCGGGGAGACCCATTTGGGTCCTGGGCTTTGGTTCTGTCGCTTCCCAAACTGCAGCATCCCCGGCAGGTGGGCCCGGGGACCAGCAAAGCTGGTTTTCATTAGAAACACTTGTCATGGGGCTTTTGGGAAGTTAATTGGAAAGCCAGATGTAGCCAAGTGTTTGCACTGCCTGGGTCTGTCTCACTTGACCTCGCTGTGAAACAAAGGCTGCCAGCAGCCCATCCTCTCTGCAGGTCAAGGACGGTGCTCTCCACAGGTTAATCAAAATCGGAAGTGCCCACTGGGAGGGAGAGAATCGAATCTCCAGGTCTTTTTTCATGGAAATCTCCGGTGGAGGCTGTGCAGGGATGGAGTGGAGAGGTCTGGCTGCACCCACACAAAAGCAGAGGCTTGATGGCTGAGCCACAGTGCAAGAAGCACCCAGCATTTAGGGCACACAAACACTCCAACCCTTCACCTTGGCCTTTTTTTATGGCCCCGTCCTCGCAAAAAGTTTTGTCTGGCTGACTCGTTGCACCCTGTAGAGACACTTTTACTGGAAGTGGAGCAAAATCCCGCCTTTTCTCAGCCAGATAAGCAGTGACCATGCTGACAAAGAGCTTCCAAGATTTTGGGTACATGACAAGGACCTCTGAACCACGCTTTGTCTTTGTGAGCTCCCCAGTCACTGGCTTAGCTCTGACCCTGTTTGTCAGTAAAATCAGGGGGCTTGTTCCCTGCTGATTAAACCAAAGGCTGAAATCAGCCAGGCAAAGGGCAAATTTTCTCCAAAAGTGATATCAGCCCTGTTGCACAAAGGAAATACACTTCTTCCTTTTAAATGCAGGACTCTGGTTTCCTTGCCAAGGGAAGGCTTCCTCATTTGTTCTGGAACGTGAGCTATAATTTCATTATATATAGTATATAATAGCAGTATAAAACCAAGGCTGGCTCAGCATGGGAACCACATTATACAGGGTTTTTGCTCTTTCCAGCTGATGCTGAGTCTTAATGCCCCTCCTAAGGCTTTCCCAGTAACTTGCCCGCATCCTGAATCAGGCAAAAATAGAGAGAAAAGTCACTTACGGGTGGGCCACGGGGCCCGATGATGGACATGCCAGCTTCTCCTGGAGCACCCTGCAGAGAGACAAAGCAGAGGAAAGGGCTGAAAACAGGAGAGGAAAGACAAAGACAACTATATTCCTGTCAAGAGCGGGGTTAAATGCGGGTGCCTTAGGTGTGAGATCTTCAGGGCTCACGGGGCAGCTGCTGTTCTGGCCTCCCCCAGCTCCTGCCTGACACTTTGGGAAAAAAGATGTTCTTGAGAGCTGCTCAGATGTGCCAGAAAATGGAAGCTGCACAGCAAGGAGAAGTATAAACACATAAAACACTTTCTGGCAAAACAGATGTTCTGCCCCATTGCAAGTGTGAAAGATGGCCTGAAACCCTTTCAGTTTCCTTCCTGTGAGTTCCAGGAGGCTTGTGTCCTGCAGAAGAAAGAAAAAGAGGGATGTGCTGGGCTCCAGGGAAAGGGGAGCTGCAGGCAGATCATTTGGTTACTCCAGAAATGCCTTGCTTGTGTACTTCTCAAACTCAATAGAGATGTGGATGAAAACAAAGCAAAGTGCTTGCTGGAAAAGGAAACAGCTGCCTCTCCAACTCCCAGCCACCCACAGCGTGTGATGGGCAGGACATGTCACTCCCTTTGGAAACATGATGTATTCCTGAGAGGCAGCTCCAGAAGTGCCCAGGGCTGAGGAGCTTTGGGACAGAGCATCCCGTAAACCAAGCAGCCTGCAAGAAAGCAAAGCACTCTGAAAAACAAAGCTATGGACTGCCAAAGACTAAGGGCTCTCAGGGAGGCCTTTGGGGCAGCAGGGGCAATTAGGAGGGATTTTTTTCCATTCTTTGTTTGTATCTATCTGCTGTCCCTTCATGGAAACTTTGGTCAGAAACAAATGCAAGGACATGCAGAGAAAAAAGCAGAATGGCTTCAGGTGGGAAATTCTGGTCTGTTGGATGTTGGTTGGCTGAGCAAAGGGTGAACACAAGGATGAACAATCTCTATCCTGCTTTCCCCCTTCCTTGTTGTGTTTTTCTCTCTATTATGAATAGGAGCAAGCGGGTCTGGTATGGTACTGCATAGATGACCTTCCTTGTCAGGTAAATATCCATAACCTTTCTTAATTTCTACACATTGTTTTCACAAATCCCAAACACCTCCATTTCCCTGCTCTGCCAGGTGGGAGGTACTCACAGCTCTGGGGAAAATACACTAACACTGAAATGCCAAAAACGAGCCAGCAGCAGGATCGCTTTGTAAACCAGCACTTCTTTGTGGGTACAAATCTCAACTCACTGCACAGCACACAGTCTGTGAGATGGTGTCCCACAGACCATCAGCTTTCCTCAGGAGGAAAAGGTCCCACCATGTCAGAAATAGGAGTGTGCCATGCCACTTCTACTCCTTGCTCCCACCTGCACCAGGGATCAGGCTAACCTGGGAGGCAGAGGGGAGCTGCAGGTTGGCTGGGGCAAGCAGAGCTGCCAGAGGGGGAGAAAGTCAATGGTTAAAATCCAGCAAGCCTTGAAGGGAGCCCTGCATGTGCCCACTGGCTCTTAGGCTGTTAGTAAATTGTCATAAACAAGAAACACAGCATCTCTGGAGGCCGAATGGCCTGGAAGGAATTTGGGAAATACATTTGCACTGACACGGAAGATGGGGCAGCCCAAAGCTGGCTGCGGTGGCCGTGACTGTGACAGGGGAGTTGGGCTGGCCCTAGAAGGACAGTCTGGGGGTGCTAGAGGCTACAGGGAGCTGACTCACCTTCTCTCCAGATTGCCCCTTTAGTCCCTGGGTCAGTGGCAGCCGTCACAGCCACATGCAAGAGGGTGCAGGGAAGAGAGAGAGAGAGAAAGGAGAGACACAAACACAGGCGTCAGCGGCAAAGGCACGCTCTGCCCCCCACAACCCTGGCTATGGGGCCGGCACCAGCAGGGTGGCCTCACTCCTGCCCCAGTCCCCTTCCCCATCCTCACCACGGGATGCCTGAGCAAGGAGCAGCTCCACAATCCAGCACTCAGCCAGGCAGGGCACGGCCCCCTTTGCTCAGGGCAGCTGCCAGTGGCAAGCAGGGGTGCGTGTTAGGAAACCCAGGCTTAGCAAGCCCAGCTGGCGCACCAGGTGGCAGCGGGAGACACCCAGACAGGGGATGCTGAACCAGAGCAGGGCCTGGATAGGACAGGTGACATGGAAACACCTCCCCAGCATGTATGTGGCTTGCAGGGCTGGTCACCCTGGTGAGAGCAGGGGAGCCCCTCAGGTGTGGGGCTCAGAGAGAGTAGTTTTGCTCAAACTGACAAGGATTATCCTGAAAGCCACCCCCAGATCCTGGGGGCTGGAAGAGAATGGGAAGGATAAGGCACACAAAAGAGGGTTTGACTCACCGGCCGCCCAGGGATTCCCATCGCACCTTTGTCCCCCTGGCAATTAAAGCAAAAATCAGAGGGAATTGGTAACTGGTCAAAAGCAAATTTATAAAACAGCACACCTGAACTAAGCCACAGCAGCAGCTTCACACCGTGGTGCAAGTGCCCAGGGATTTTGAGAGGGAGAAGGTTAAAGAGTAAAATGTGCTGTCTTTAGAATGTGTGAGGCACCAGTTCCACATATGACAAACCCACTCATCTCACAACAGAAATTACATACAGCAATTCAGGCAGCAGAAGGAGGACAGGAGTCTCCAGTCAGACAAAGTACTTTCCCTATTTCCAGCACCTCATAAAATCCAGGTCCTGGGAACTGGCTTCCTGCAGTGGCCAACTGTCACATTCTTCTCTTTCTTGACCAAAGTCATCTGGGTGTTAGCTATTTATTTATAGAGTTATCACTTTAAAACACAATTCTTTTAGACTTAAAAACACTGTCCTGTCCAGAAGCAAGAGAAAAATGTGAGAACACAAGCTGACACAGGAAAAAGCATGTCTGGAAGAAGACATATGAGCAGCTGTTTTCAGTGTCCTCTACCCCTCCGAGATACTTCCCAGTGCATTGTCAGCATGTGAGTGATCCTAACAGTGGTTTTGGGAATGACTTTGGGTCAGGTGACACTGGACAGAGCCTCGTAAACACATGAACATAGCACCAGTGACAATTTTCTTCACCCACTTACCTACAAGGCTGCCTCTTACAGCTAAATTGTACTATGCAATTACCAAAAAAAAAAAAAAATAAAAAAAATTACCCCCTCTGCATTCCTGGTCACCAAAACTGAAGGCTGTGCAGATCTGGAAGACAGCAGCTCATTGCTAAAGGATCTTGATGATTATGGCTTCAGCAGTTATGTAGCTTTTACTCTATATTTTGCAAAAATGACGTGATAATAATCCCTCAGTTCTGTTTCCAGCGATGTTTGGGGTTTCCTTATGTAAAACAGAACGTTCCTGCCCCTGGCTGGCTGTGTCTGTAGACACAAACCTGGTTTTCTGGTTTCTGCAGCTGGAGACACCAGCCCCACTGGTGCCACCTCTCGATGCCTCCCCACACGTTCAGTCCCAGCGCGTGTGAACACAATATGAGATCTCTGGGAGGGGAAGGCACTTAGCTCTGTTTGTCCTTCTGGGTGTACACAAAGGCTGTGTATCCCAAACTCAAACATCATTGCTTGGGACCAAACCATTCCCTGGTGGAAGCTCAGTCATTTCCCTCTGCAGAGCTGGGGGGGCTGTTTGGTATGGGGGGCATTCCTTTCCAGTGCAGCTAATGTTGTGATAAATTGAAGAGGCATGTACACTTTGCAAAAGCACCTCTTTCAGACGGATGAAACCCTGAACAGCTGCTTGATTCTAAGTTTTGTTGAGGATATATTATGGGAAACTGCTTTCTTCTAGGGTTTTAGGTGGGTTCTCAGTCCTGCTAATATTTGCCTATCACTGTGCCAGCAGTGAGTGGAGCTCCTGGTGTCAGCATCTGGCCCTGGCATCACTTTGTGGCTGCTGGAAAACAAAATACTGAGCTTTCCTCTGCTTTTAGTCCCTTAAATGCTGCTTTCCTCCAGAGCCGAGCCCAGGCTGATTTCCCTGATGGCTTTTGAGGTAACAGCTGAATTTGCCTCTTCTGTCTCTGCTGTGGCTGGTGCTGGAGCAGGAAGGGCCCAGGGTCAGGGCTGAGCTGTGTCAGGTCCCCTGTGAGCACCTGGAGTGGTACATGACGGCACCGTGTCTGGAATGTGGCTACAGCACAGGGGGAGCTCCCTCTAGGACAGCAAATAAATGCCAGATGTTTGTAAGGAAAGGTTGCCTGTGACAGGCAACCAGGAAAGAGCACTTGGGGGTGGATGATACTGTGTAGGCTGGTTATAAAGTCATGAAAAGCTGCCTGAAGCTCCCACATCAGAGTTAAAAGAGCATGAAAGGCAAGCAGCAGCCCCTGTCCTGAGCCAGGGGAGAGCCAGCAGCACAGTTTGCATTTCCTGCACTGGGAAACTGCCTCTTATGGCTCGTGCAGGCTCCAGGTGAGCCACAGCCTGGGGAGCAGGGAACCATCACCAGAAAATCACACTGCTGTAATTCCAAAGCTCCTTCCTCAGCCATGACTAACCCAGATGCAGATACTGTTATTATGGATTTTTGCATTTGTCCCAAGGTGACTTAGGCCTTCTAAATCCTACTGCAACTAGCAAATCCCATCAGTGAGAACACTGAACACTTTGCCTCTCCAACCAGACCCTCAATGGCATCTTCAAAAGTTGTGTTTCCCACTCATAGGAGGGTTCAGGAGGATCATGCTACCCTTTAAGTTTGGACCTACAAAGTTCCTGTGGTCCCTACTCTGCATGGGCCATGTCCTGATTGCAATATTCTATTCCATGTCCCATTTTTTATGCAAGTCTGCTTTCTATCACCTTAAGAATGCTGGGGGCCTCCTGATCAAAGTACTGTCAGAGAGAAAGAATGAGGGGAAGAAACAGAAATCATGAAGTATTTACCAGGAGTTGTGGCCTTTCTGTGAGGCCCTGGAAGAAAATACACTGAAACAGCAAAAGCCAGCCTCAAACTCCAAAAGGAGGGCTTGATAAAGACATGGAATCACATGGAAGTGTTTAGGAAACAGAATGGTTAACAAAACTCTCCACAGCTCCTTGACCATCAGCTCTGATTGCCTCGGTTTCCTAATCTCCTGCTTGTGAAGTTCTCTCTCCTTTTGGCACGACTCTACCCACAGCTCTCCGCACGAGCTATGAAGGTATCTGCAAGTCCACGGAGAACAAGCTAATTACAGGGCTTTGACTTTCCTCCTTAAGTTTCCATCTGCTAAATATTATTTTTTCATGTATGGAATTGCTGCAGTTGCCACAGAAATGTTGCATGATCAGAAATGGGAGAGAAAATGTCCGTGAGAGGATCATTTGCTTCGGATGTGGTCCAGACAGCAAAAGGACTATTGCAGGATTTCATCACTTCCTTCCTTCACCCCTTTTAGTCCCAATCTCATCAAATATCTTACATGACTGCGGGTTGCCCTTGTCTTCACCAAAGCCCTCACCGACTTCAGGAATAAGGGTGGAAGTGTTCATTGGGCAAGAGAAGAACGTGAAGTTCCCTTTTGCTGCTCTGGTGGTGCTCATCCATTTCCCTGGCTCTTGTCCTTGTTGTCCTAGGCCGCAAGCAGGGCTCAGGGCATTTCTAACGAGTATTTCTGCCCATCTCCACACCCAAGCCAACACCTGCACTGGGAGCTAAGCCCTGCCACACAGTGTGTTGTCTCTCCTGCCAGCTGGGAAACAAAAATGGGAGAGAGATGTGGGGTGGTCATTGCTTTGGGGTCACTATCCAGAACAACGTGTATGATAATCAGCCAGCTCAGGTTGCTGCTCATAAAACCATTTCCATTTCAATCAGGAGAAATACACAGGGGTGGGGGAATACTTCCTGTGGTGACATGTAGAACTCACTTGGCTTTTCAGAGGTGAACTTTTGCTCACAGTCACTGAGCAAAAGAGCACAGTGATTTCACTTGCCAGCTGATCAGAAACCCAAGAGGTCCTGAATGAGATGAGGGTCCTGCTAGTCCAAGACAAATCCCACTTTGGCTGAGAGCACTCAGTCTGCCCAACTTCCTCTTGTTATTTCCATCGGCTGCAGCATTCTCACAGCCCGTCCCAGAAGTCTGCTTGCAGAGACAGGTTCAGGGGTCGCAGTAAGCCAGGATACAGTAGCATATAATGTCAGCACTCCTCTGGTGGTCCCATGTGCTTCTGCCAGGCTTCAATCTCTCATTACAATATTAGGTTTCCACCCTTATTGCTGCAGAGGAGGCCTGGAGTGTGTGTCTTCCTCACCCCACAAAGGCACTGACTGCTCTCTAGAAGACATCTGTGTTGATCTGGTGATTTCTCTCTAATTTCTCACAGCAACAACAGAAATGCCAACACCACTGCCAATTTGGTGCCCACCTCATCCCTTTAGTGCCAACATATGGGCTGCCCAGGCTGAATGGCAGGGACTGCCATGGAGGGACTCCAGTTTGGAGCTGCCTGCAGAGGTGTGCTCTCCTCCCAGAAAGCCACAGCTAATGCTGAAACAGCCAGCCCTGAGAGCCCCTGGGATGAGCTATCGCTGAAGTTTTGTGTGGATCAGGCCCTCCAGCTGTGAAATGCTTTCAGACCTTTTGGCCTAGAAGGTGCAACTTTTTGGAAGATTGCTGTCATTAAATAGGTCTGCGCTCGTCTATCTGTGGGAGTTGAGTCTATAGCATTTCAGCCTGATGAAAGGGGAAAGAAAATAGGTTGTGCAACAACTACCACTCAGGACGTCATCTGCAAACTGTTTAAGACATTTTTGCGCGAACAGACAAAAGATGACTACCGTATGTGTAACTTCTCATGTTCCTCCACAGAAACCCTGAATAGTCCCTCTATTGTACAGGAATATAAACCATTTCCTCTGGAAGGACCCTGCTATGAGACAATGCAGCGTTTCTTTATAATCCTGAGAGATAGCAATACATGGCTTCAGTCCTTGTGCTGCTGCTTCTGGTTCACTGTGGGTCTGGTAATAGCTGCAAGAAAATTTCTGCAATAACCTAGCTATTTTCCTGAAGCCTAAATTGTCTGTGCTGAGGTTTTACATTAGCTAACATTTGAAAAGGAAGCTGTCAACACAATTTTTCCTCTGAAATTGATCGCTGCACAGCTACACTTGAAGGCCCAGCAGCTCAGCCAGCCCGGGTGAGTAGCAGGGAACAAGTCCCTGCAGCTCAGCTCAGCTCAGCTCCTGCCATGTGTTTGTGATCCGTCTTTCCCTTTTCTGCAAACCCATCTCGCTCAGCACGTGGCATCCCATGCATGTGAGGCGCACACAGCCGGCTCCCCCAGGGGCCAGCTGCTAACACACAGATCCCTGCACCACGTGGATTTGCCCTGTCCCTGTCCCTGCTGAGCCACAGCCAGCAGCAATCCCACCCCAAGCCAGTCCTGAGCTCCCCCAGTACTTGCTGTTTGGGATATGCCAGGACTGCAAAGGTGTTTGCCACACCACAGACAGGAGGCTGCAAGTTCATGCCCCCAGACTCCATGTCAAAGCTTCTAAAACCACAGAAGTTTGGTACTTACAGGTGGACCTGGAAGAGAGAAGAAAAATAAACAATAATTAATTTTGTAATGTAACAAATCCTAACAAGAAGAGCTAGAAAAAAACATTGCACCATCTTTTGGGCTGTGTCCTCAGGCTGCTCCCATTTGCTGATGCACTTTCACCAGCTCCCTGCTTGTTCATTAAGGTATCCCCACCATAACCACCACGAGTGCAGGGCAGCCTCTGACAGCCCAGTCAGAGCCCTGCCTTGGGAAGGCCATGCAAGTCAGGCTCTTGACACTGTCCAACTCAGTTTTGGCCCTCCAGCACACATGAGAGCGGGGAACTTGTTATTTATATGATTCCCCCTCACATGCTGCCCACCCATGGGAGCTGAGGAAGTTGAAATTGAGGAGGCAAGAGCCCCTTTGCTGCTACAATTCCGACCCATTTCCCACCAGAATCGGTGATCTTGTGAAGGTGTGAAATGATTAATGAGGAAACTACAGCTATTAAAGATATCAGGTACCTTTTCTCTTTAATACAAGCAAATTTTCCCCTTTTCTTCTGCCTCTCATCCCCTCAAAGCCAACCTGCCCTCTCGGAAGAAATTCCCTCAAATCCTTTGGGTTTCTTTTATTTTGGAAATCTTTTTTGGAACCTGCCAGTGTGGAGCACTGCACACAGAATGGTTGTACAATATATATCAGGGCTTAAACAGCACACTTCTTTCATCAGCTCCCAGAAAATTCCTCAAAATCCTGACAGATATTGTGTGTGTGGAAAGAAACCCCCGGACTCACTATTTTGTGGTTTCCTCTCTGTGGGAGAAGCAAGACACACCATACAACTGTCAGGGGTTTCTACATTTTCCATACTTTATGGACGTTGTGTTTTCTCTGTTTTTCCCTCGCACAGAGTGCCAAGAAGCGAGGCTAAGCAGTAAAACAGGCGAGCTGACAGACAGCAGCAGCAGCCCCCTCCTCGCACGGCAGGCGGATGTCACCGCCAGCACCTGCAGAACAACCCTCACCCTGAAAACGCCCCTGGCTCAAAGGCCACTAAAGAAACCGAGACCTTGCATGAACAAACACTTTCCACACTGGAAACCTCTCGCTCAGCGTGACTCTCTCATACCGGGTCTGGTGACCTGAAACTGCCCTGTCGGATGCCACTGTTAGACACAACTTTCATTGTGGTTGATCAGAAGAGGTTACCTCTAGATAAAGTAACTTTTGGTTAAAATACAAAGAATAACAACCACCTTCATGATGGCTAACAGAGCTAAAGTCAACACCCCACAACTCAAAACAACTCCAATCAAATTTAGGACAGGAGCCCAGCGGCAATCCAGATTTGGCTGGCCTGGCAATGGTCTACCACTGGTGCTGATGCTGAGGTCGCTGTCCTACTTGCTACACCAAGCCTAAACAATAAAAGGGTTTCTGATCAGACAGCTCATTTAGGAGGGCAAGGTCACACTGATGCTGGAATCCTAATTTATGCCAGACTGGGAGAAAAGAAAGAAAAAAAAAAAGAGAGAGAGAGTTTTCTGAGTCTGGCTTGGATCACAATAAAGTTCTGTGAGAGAACTGTTTTGGAGAGATTTTGTTTCAGACTGAGTGCCCTGACACAAGGTCAATGCTTATAGCTTGCCAATACACGGACTTTATTTCCATTAGCAACACTTCAGACCCTTAATAACCCACCTACCTGTCTGCATGGACTTGGGGCTCTCATGGATTGCATGAACCAAACTGTTGAGCTGATATTAAAAGAAAAACTTAAGGACATGCAAACCCTGAGCCTTCCCTGCCCTTCCAGCCCAAGCACAACCACCCAGCACAGCCTGTAATGGCATTGCCATAGCACTGAGAGCAAACACAAGCTCTTGTTTGCTCCAGAAGCTGCATCCACAGAGCAGAGTAAATCAGCAATGCCGGAGCTCTGGGCCACACACCCCACACAGATCAAAGGCAGGAGGAACAGTGGAGGCCCATCTCTGCTATGTGCCCCCTATAAAATTAATGGTTATGTGAAGGGGACTGCACAGGCTTGTGTAAACACTCATCAGTGAGCTGCAGGGACACAGCCTTGGCTGCAATAAGTCAATCGGGAGACACCATCCAGGGACTGGGCTTCAAATGCCGGGATCGTCCGTGTGACCCAGGAGAAAGCAAAGCCCTCAGACAGAGTCATTTCCAAAAGCAACATCATCTTGCATGGGCTGGAGGAGGAGGAGGAGGAGGAGGAGGAGGAGGAGGAGGAGGAGGAGGAAAGATGTCCCAAAGACAGCAGGAAGGGAGGAGGTGTTGCTGGATTAGCTGTTGCGAAGCATAGGGGGTTTTACGAAGCAGAATAAAGCTTCAGCAAAATGCTTTGGTCGTATTCTGTCACAGTGATAAATGACAAGGTGGAGCAGAGGTTCTCGAGTGGCTCAGCCCTTAATACAACTAGTAAATTAATGCACATGAGAGGAAAGAGTGGATGGATAAAAGAGGATGGAGATACTTGAGCCTCTACTCTCAACAGCTCCAACATCAGCAGTGCAGTGAGCTCAGTCCGGGCCAAAGCTCTGGCAGAGCTGCTCTGGCCAAGGCAGGGACGCTGACAACCCAGCAAGCCAAGGGAACAAACCCACAAGTTGACCAGGCTGCATGGGACCCTTTACAAAAGCCACCTGAACTGCAACAGAGTCACCACTGCATGCAGTGCCTGCGTCACACATCTCTTGCAGGCCCAGCCAGTTTGGGGCAACCATGTGCAACCAGGCCTGCTTGCCCCCACATGGGCCAGCTCTTGGTGGTGAACTCCAAAGAGCTCCACAAACAACCAAAGTACAAATCACACCTATTGGGGGCTCCTCCTCTCCTTGCAGCAGGCTCTTTTGGGGCGAGACAGAGGTGGTGCTGCACAGGAGACGAGCCAGATGCCCTTTCCATATAAAGAGTCAACAGAGAAGAGATAAAAGCTTCTGCGAACATCTCCCAGCCCAGCCAGCAGGCAGACCCAGAGCTCCCAGATCACCAAACTCCTCAGCCTTGCACGGCAGAGAGCCCACAGCTGTGATCAGCACCTCCAGCCGCCGTGCGTTCTGAGGAGCGACGCCGGCGCTGGCACGCGGGCCGCAGCACGGCCGTCCGCCCACCACGGGCTGCTCAGGAAGCTCCTCTCCGTGCACTGGGGGGCTGCGAGGGACTGCAAGGGCTGTTTATGCAGCTGCAGGGCTGGGGGAGCAGCAGGGGAGGGAGGAGGGGACGGGGAAAACGTGTCAGGAGTGGACGAGTGGGAGGAAGCAGTGGTCTCCTGCAAAGAGGAGACCTCCAGAGCACCTTTGAAACGGAACATTGAGAAAACAAAGAATTCTTGTAGGGGTACCCAAGGTCCCTCCAGACACATGGCCTCTGGAAATTAGCACCATCTGCACTGTCCCTTCTCAGCTGCTCTGGTTTTTATGCAGACAGAAAACTCCTTTAAAGAAGCTCTGCCTTTCCATAGCCCAAATGAGCCTCTCCATAGCCCAAATCAGCAGGCACCTAAGGGTAGGGTCCACCTTACTGCACACACAGAAACACCACACCTGTGGTGAGCTGCAAGGCCATGCCACAGAGCCCTCTGCTTGCTTGATCTTCCCCCTGTTCAACCAGCAACTGATCACAACAGAGCTGCAATGATTCCTTTCCTCTCAGCCGCTATCAGGGATAAAATGCCACCCTCCATGCTGTAGCCCTGCTGGCCTCAGAAAAGGAGAGGCTTCATTTTGTAGGCCAGTCAAATTTATCCTAATCTGGAAAGCCTCACGTTCCAGACTATCAGATGTTAAAAGCTGGATGTAGAGGAGCAGGTTTGGTGAGAAGCCTTCTGCTGATGACAGAGATACTCTCTAGCTTGAGACAGCAGTGCTCTCTGGACAGAGAGGATCATTGAAATGATCCCATCCACTTACGGGCATTTCCTGAAGTCTGGAAAAGTGTCCATTCTCAAAAGGTTCCCAAATGCTGTTGCTTATTTTTTCCCTCTAATTTCTTGGATTCAGGCAGCACAGTGTCTGCAATGTGTCTATCTTCCAGCCTGCTCCAAGAGCTCACATACAAGGGTTTGTTTTTTTTTTCCCTCCTGTATAGCATACATGAGACAAGGAGGAGAAAGAGGGAACACGAAGTCATTACTGCTGGTTACTTGGGTCGTCCTCACTACACACTCTGGCAGCAGCAAAGATGTAAACATGTAATCCATCCCTGTGAGGAAATCCAGCCATTTCACAGACCCAGAAGCCAGCCTTAGGGAGTTAGGGAGATACAGTTACTTCCTGACATTCGGGGCTATGTTAATTGATAACAAGATAGCTGTGGCCAGGCAATTAGTTATGAAATGCTGATTGAAATGCCAGCAGCCTGAGCGTGACCCTGCCCAGGGTGGCATGGAGCCCCTCATTTCATGGCTCCATGGGCATTCAGTGCAGACTGACCCCATTTCAGAGCAGGCACACCCCAGCTGGGTGCATGGAGCACAAACAATGGGTTTGGCCTATTTTAAACACAGACCATGCTGCAGTTTTCTCACAACAGATCCACAGTACTCATATTCTTCTATTCTTCCCTACCTCCATCAGGGGACAAGTGATACAAGTGGAAGCAGAGGGAACATTAACTCAGAACTTCAAATGAAAAGGCAAAAAATGCCATGTGCCTTGCTATAATTCATTATTATTACCTGTAGGTAGAAATAAAGACAAAAAAGTCTTGAAAATAATAAGAAAAATTTTAAACACTGACTACCCAAAGAACAACCTCCAGTAATTTTGCTTCAGGTTTTGTCAGCAGTGGCAGACAATCTGCGTGGATAACTCACTCCAGAGAGCAGAAGGCCCTTGCAAAAGGCCAGGCCCCTCCATCCCTAAAACATTCCCTTCTAGCCTACACCCTTGCAGAGTGGCAAGAGGATCTTCAGAGGATTGCAGAAATGCTGGACAGTGAAAGGACCATCGGGATTTCACTGCCAAAAAATCTGACCAACGCTAAGCCGAGGCACCAGGTCATGCCAGTC